TGTGAATATTCTGTTTTGGGAATAGGGGGTACGTTGTAGTTGAATGAATCGAATATGGACAAAAATACTAATGTTATTGAAATCATTTACATGTACTTTTTAATGTGAGCTTCGCGCCGTCTTGAATAATAATTAATGAGTAGAGTTGGGGTTTCAGTGCCGAATTTGATCCAAATTTGACAAATCATGAGAAAAATCCCATATGCATGCGAACAATTATTTTTGAAAATAGTTATTTTCAAAGTAAGACGGCTAAGTTGAGTTCACGAGTTATTGCACTCTTCGCACGATGCTCAAAATTTCATCTGTGTGAAAAAATTGTGATTCATCGGCCATATATTCTGTTTTTAACTTTCTAAAAATATGTGCGGCCCGCTAGGACTTGCAAACCTTGATTTTGGCCCCCAAACAACAAAAGATTGCCGGTCACTGGGTTATGGCTTCCTCTGCCATCAAGTCCATGCATCTGAAAACAAATAATGGCAATAATTTTGATGACGTCATAGCAACAAAAAAAAGTAATAGCCTTCTGAAGAAAATTTTTATCTTTAACCACTGACCAGCAAGAACAACATAAAAACAAAACGATCGTTATGTCATTGTCCACTAAACGTGTCCAATTACTAGCTAACTAATCCCATACCCGTCATGGACCGGTAACCGGACGAGAGGCTGTGGTTCGTCATATGATTAGGCCGTCTTATCGGCTTTCTTCTCCCAGAGATAAATTTGTGAAACTATCCAAATAGTGCCGCACAAATAGGAGCGCGTCAATATTTAGGGATCTCTGTGATTTTATTCTAAAAGGATCCAAGGGCTTCAGCCTCAACCGACGTAGCCTTCGTTGTAGTTTTGAGTGCTGTAGTAGTGCAGTGCAGTGTTTCCCTAACTGTGTTCCGTGAGCGTCTTCGAAGTGTTCCATGGAAAAGGAAACAAAAATACGTCTAAAATGGTCGCCATGGCGATCTATGGAACGAAAACGAAATGGCGACCAAGACTTTTCGATATCGCGTCACCGTCGGCTTAGCTTTTTGACTATTAAGTTCATTATCAAGTTTACAGCAATCCTTTTGGTTATGTCATAGCCAAATAAGTAGGTCTAAAGCAGTTGTCGGCAAACTTTATGTACTTGCGGGCCAAATATCAAATTTTTCGGTTGCGTGCTGGCCGCATTAATTTCCCCCTATTTACAATCGCCACATCTAACTTCAAATTATAGCACACTCGTACCTTCTATTACTGCGTTAAATGACTGCCACAATGAGACGTGTATGTGGCCTTTTTTATATATTTTATCAAACAATACATTGTTTTTATTGAGTTATTAACATTTTTTAGGATGATGTTGTTTCTGTGTTCAGGCCAAAGCGGCAACTTCATTGCCATGCAGTACGATCTGACAAGCGAATACGCAATTTATTCTTAGAGTATTACCTTTTAAATAGAGCTGGTCGCAGCTAGGGTTTTGTTTTTTATCAATTCTAAAACAAACAAGGGCTTGTTTTAAATCAATTTTTTTCTGTAGTTTTTTATTGAAATACCCCTTGCATCGCCGCTAAACTACGCCAAAACGTTGCATCCTGGCAGCTGCAAACGCAGCCAGAATTATAATTTCAAAAATGTAAGTAAAATTTTTTATTTCGACTTTTACTTCTATTGCGTACAATCATCGCCACGTTTGTATCTCCATCAAAGTCATAAGATTTTACCCGGAATGTTTAGCCGAGATATCAGAGAGATGTTTTGAGTAAGAAAAATTGACATATATATATATATTAACATTTTCCCATAAAATGAAGGCATTATTACGGATAATACTGTTCGGTTAAATTTATGCTCAGCATACTTTGTTTTTAAGGTTGAAGTGATAGAGTTTTTCAAAGTTATACAAACAAATTTATTCGATCGCATTTTAATTTTCGCAAGGTGGTTTCATCGCAGCAGGGTCGTTCACGTAATGGCTTATCGGTTGCGTCTTATTGCGCCAACCACTGAACTACAGCTTGAGAAGGTGTGCATGAGCCTCTATCGATAGTTGTGGCGCTTTGAAAGATTTATTGCGAATATTAAGCGCTTGGCAAGTTTTTACATCTATTTTTCTTCAACCTATTTAATACAAAAAATCAAATAGTACAGCCATTTTGAACAAAACAGGCGAAAAAAACTTGATTTAAAACAATTGTTTTAAAACAATTCTTTTTGAACAAATCTCTAGTCGCAGCACTATGTGCTTTCGAAGTGCATACTACGTTTCACACTGTCGCACGATGAGCAATGGCGCAGCCCCGAGTCGAATTTTAACATTGAATACCTTAATAATTGCGATGCTGACCTTGCATATCAAGCAAACTGGTTTTGGAATGCGCGAGAAAGAAATATGTTTTTTCCTCCAAGCACTTTGTAATGTTCGGCCCCCGTCGCAAACTTCCCTCCGTTTCCCAGATATTCTCAAATTTTAAAAATCAAAATAAACTTATAACTACAACCAACGATGGGACGTTCATCAAGTAAACGACTTACAACTGGCGCTACTTGCTATAAAACAAGAGACGTACAGCGGCACTTGTTACCACATAAATCCATTTGGATACAATACATTTAAAATCAATTTTTATTTTATGAATTAAGAGTCGTTCGACGGCCGCAAAAAATCCGTTCGCGGGCCGCATTCGGCACGCAATTTGCCAACCCCTGGTCTAAAAAATAAAGACAAAAGATCAACTCTTCTTCCCCCATCTCTGCCTGGTTTCATTTTGAAATGCTGAAAAAATTACAGGGCTGCAGGCTTACAGCTCGCGAACTAGTTCTATCTCCATTAGACGTAACATTTGAGCCAAACACTAAGTAATGGAAAGTAAACGACATAGAATGGTACGGTTCCCGTACATTTGAACCCACGTACATTTGAACTCACGACAATTGCACCTGCATGCTATTCAAAGTGACTATAGTCACTTTGATGCTATTGCAACTATGGAAATTTTTTTGTTTTGCGGATATTTGAACCCCTACTAACCCTCCCCCAAGGGTTTTAGCATCCGCATATAGATTGAACCCGCGGATATACACATGGGTTCAAATGTACTGTCACCAATGGTACATGAATGAATTGATTAATATACACAACATTTGAATTATGAAACAATAAAACATTTATAATAAATGTAATTGCAATTGCACGGCGAACCCATTGGGAACCGCTACATTACACAATTTTTCTATATCAATTTTACTCTTTCATTTGTTGGTGATCCGCGAGGCGAGATAAAAAGTTTAAGTGTTCCGTGGCTGAAAATTTTTGGTTAACGCTGGTAGTGCATACCATGTTTATATGTTGCATGTTCCTGACTTTTTTCCTTCTGCGCCATATGGGAAGAGGGCAGATGAAAACTCGGCCGAGAAGATTCACGTCAGGCGAGTTTTCTAAATTTGTCTGGGATGGTTCAAAATTGCAAATGCGCATAGGTCATCTGCGATCCACGATTTTAAAACAAAATGTCACCGGTACCGACGTAGGGAATTGTATCAACGTCCCACCATTTAGAAAAATCCCCGATGGCCTCTGTACTGGTCAATATTAATAAATTTATATATCTTATATTATATATCATTATGACTTTTTAATGGTACTGATAATCCTATTATAAGATATGTTGCGCTATACGTGGCAACTTGAAGATATAAAGTTTCTATTGGTGTATTGAAAAACCTAATTCAAACCTATAGTTTATTAAAGCAATGCAAGAACGTAACGTTGCATGATAACCAGCATGTACGACATATAAACTAATGTACGGAAGATACAATTAACATGACACGCTTTGCGTAAATCTGATACACATCTTTCGAAACGCCAAATATAAATAAAACAATTACGGCATCGTGTTTGATTTCAAGCAATCTAATTTATTTAGATTTCATATGAAACATAACAAGCGATAAAATGTTCAATAAAGGCAAAAACTCGTTCCTGAAATCTCGGCATTATTTCAGATTACATCGGGAGGTGGAAATAACTTAGAATCAGTGAGAGTATAGGAACACAGCCTTGGATTAGATTTTATCTACATTTTGTGGGCACCAAATGGACCTATGGTTCAATTTTCTGAATTTTGGCTGTTGTTCTTGTCGGCGCCGTTGTTGTGAATAGACGCCTTTATCGGGAATTTTTGGGGTCATTAATCTTTTCACTTCTAGTTAAAAGCAAATGTTGGAAAAAATATAGAAAGTAGATATAGGAACTATTTTAGACTTTAAAAATGACATGGTCTGTAGTAAGTATAGGCAAAACAAATGGGGAGGAGCTTCGAAATATTCAGTGACTGGAAATATATACGATTTAATAACAACAAAGTTGTATTGAAAAATTTGTATATATCAATAAGCTTACTGACCAGTGAGAACGTGTATGTTGTTTGTCGACAACTACGCTGGGCCGTTGTTTGCCACATGATTGACCGTCTTATCAATTTTTCTATTTCTAAGATAAATTTGAAAATCCCGCCGAAATGGATTATCCAGGCAATGGCATGTCTGTGACGCAATCCCGCAAAATGTTTTTCAGCAAACAACACCAATACGATTCGCGCATAAAGTCACGGCCAATCTTTGGTGAATTTGCTTCCATGGCGCAGATTGTCGATATTTTATACCCCGTCTGCTAGCAAAGATTGATTTTTTATTATTTATGAGTAAATTGGGCATATTATTCAGTTTAGATCACCGGTAGTCATTCCGCCACCATGGCGGCTTACTGGCGACACAAAGTGGCGAAAAAAGGAGAGTTTACATTTCCCGTAGGAGACACGTAGCGATAGTCAGTCGAAATCAGTAAAATTGGTCAATGATTGGGAGCGACAAAGTGAGAGGTATACAAACCAAATACACAACTGGCCGTGGCATCATACACATGGTATTCGAAGGCATCAGTGCTGTCAATAGCATAGTAAAGGTTGTTATTCCCAAATTTGAAAAGCTTCATTTTTACAAAAGATTTATTTTTCTGTGGCATTACTCGAAAAACAGCGTATCGCTCGTGAAATAATGTAGAGAAGACAGCTCATTGAGGCATACACAACCTACAGCCGGAAAGAATTTTCCGAAATAAACGAGATAGTCAGAAACGCAGCTGATCATGCGCTTATGTAGGTTTATGACGTAGAACGCAAGAATGACGGCGATTTCTTTTTTCAGTTTGTTTATTATAATCTCCCAGACACACGTACTGCGCGCGCAATGCGTGCTTCTTCTACGCACCCCTGGAAGTTCTCTCGGTAAGACCCGGAACACAGAAACGTCGCATCATGATGGTGAGTTTCTTTTATATTTATATTAAATTCTCGCATTTCTTCCTCGCCGGCCGTTGGTTTGCTGTGTGTTGGGCTGCTGTTCAATAAATCGTTTTTTTAAAACGGGAGAAGCAATCATTTTGAACTCGCTCGGCCACGCAATAGTGCGAGTAAGAGCGTTGTTGAAGCTGCGCTTGCTGACTTCATCGTTCTCTCTCCTTGGCCAATCATATCCATGTTCTGGGCACGTCGAACATTCAGTTCTCTCCCTGGCGGCACGGCAAGCATTTTTCTCGGCGCAATAACCTCCATGTTTCCAATGCTAAATACAGTATAACTGTGTGAACACCCGACCTAGTTCATAAGCTGACATGCCATCTCTCTAATTTTCAAACTTTTCCATTTTTTGAGGTTCAAATTCAGCTTTTCCATTTCTTTTCATTTGCCGTTCAAATTGGGCAAATTTCAGGCCACCTTTTCTGATTCCCTCGGTACTACTAGGATAAACTGCCAGAATACTGGAATAAATGGCCTTTAACAGGCTTTAGGCAGAAGCATGCTGTCACTGCCACCTTGATTCATTGGTATCATAGAATTTTATTGGACCAGTTTAGGTGCATAACTTGGTGCTGCTCAGCTACATAGCCCAAAACTTGACACAATAAGCTAAATTATATGTAATGTTATCATTGGTTTTTAATCATAAATGTAGCCTGCAGCTTTGTGTTGAAAAGGAATAATTTCCCTGCTGCTTTAGGTCCGCAAGACTACCATTCGGTTATCGCAATGATTCTCTTATATATATATATACACCTAGTGCTGCGCTTAGTAATGTGAAATTGATCTTAATCCTTATCTCCATTGTAACTCTCCTTGGTTGGGAAGACTGAAGAATGAGTGGAAATAGGATTCTAACGAACTCAATCGGTAAAGCAAAAAGGATATACTCTTATATCAAACGTAAATATGCCCCTTGATTGAAAACAAAGCAGACGTGCGGGGGTTCCGCAGGAATTGTAGATGTGCAAAATTGAAAAATCCACCTTGATAAACCGTTAGCTACGCAGCGAGCGACAAAACAGACGTTTCTGTTCAAAAAGAAATTATGGTTATGTGATGTTTTAATTTGGTAATCAGTAGAATCACTTTAATACCATTCAAAAATCACCTAATGCGCCCTTAATTGACGTTTCTCGCTAATCTACCGTAAGTCATATTCAATGAAAGTATTGTATTGGTAAGGGTAGCGAATCAGAAATTCCGATAGTACAAATTCCTAATCTTCACTTCTAGTAGTCAATGGCTTGAGTGAAAATCGGACTGTTTTGGAGCGCTAGAAAAAAAAATCGGCTGTATTAGATTCGTTTCAAGCTTTACTCAAAATTATTCAAAAACTTGAGTAGAATACAATTCTCAGAATTTAATTCTAACATCTCAATAATACTTGTTGGAACTCCAAATTTTGAGCTTTTTCTTGTTTGGTTAATATTTCCAATGTTTCGACTGCATATTCAGCATGATAGGCAATAAAGTAATACTTAAAAACTGGCAATAGAATCAGCAGAGCAATCAAAACTTTAGTAAAGTTTATAATGTACAAAATAGCTATTTTACACTTAATTTTACCAGCCGTAAAACATTTGACACTACATGAATTTCCTGCCTGGGCTCTTTTTTGCCTGATTGTTTTTGTTGATGGATTGTCAACGGAAGGCGCCTGTTAGTGTCCACTCTTGGGTGTTAAATTACCATATAGGGTTCATACTTCTTACAATAATTATGACAATTTCTCTTACTGAATCATTTAAGTGAGTTGCAAATTAGTGGCAAATAGGCTGCTTCCGTTAACTTTGTATTAATATTGAACAAAGATATTTATAACTTTCATATTGCATAACCTAGACCAGTGGTCGGCAAACTTTATGTACATGCGGGCCAAATATCAACTTTTACGGTAGCGCGGGCCGCAATATTACCGCCTTCGAAGATTCTCCATATTGAACTTGAAATTATTGCGCATTTGCACCTTCTATTGCTGTGTTAAAAGCCTGCCATAATGATATGTGTATGTGTTCTTTTTTCAAAATATTATCCAACAATACATTGTTTTGTGAAGAATGATGTTTTTATGGCAAATTGCCCGTGGTACGTGTACAAAATTTATTCCAAGTGTGAAGCATTTTAGATAAAACTTCTCACAGCAATATGAGCTTCCAACTTGCAGATTACATGGTTCTCACTGTCGCACAGATGAGCTGTGGCGCAGTCGTGGGTCTTGTGGTCGAATTTTCGAAGACACGTTTTGTATCGAGTTTAACATTGAATACTTTCATATCTGCGATGCTGACTGGGCATATCGAGCAAACTGGTTTTGAAATGCGCAAGTAAGAAAAATGTTTTTCGGTTCAAGCACTCGTGAACGTTCGACCCTCGTCTCGAACCTCCCTCTGTTTCCCAGACATTTTTTAATTTTGAAAATCAACATTAACTCGAACGACATACAACATAACAAGCGTCCTACATCAACATTTGATACAACAAAAATTCGTGTAGAAACAATAATAATTTTAAGATAAATTTTTGTTTTATGTATTCATTTTCGGGTCTTTCGAAGGTCGCAACAATTAAGCTCCCGGGCCGCATTTGGCCCGCGAGCTGCAGTTTGCTGACCCCTGACCTAGACGGTGGGACAACTTGCTAAAATCTGGACTGTCCTGACTGGGACGGGACTATGGTATGCCTATGTATAGGTCAAAAATATACACTGTAGGGCAGTGCATTATGAAATGCTGTTCTATTTGGTGATTATATGGTATACCATTATTTTTTATTAAACTCTCGTCTTTATTCTTGTTCAGGGAAAGTCTTTGTGAATTCTGAAGTTCAGATATGCTGGTCAGTGAAAAAAGGTAATACTACTTTTTTATCAATTTATCTAATCTCTTTTTGTTATAAGAAAATTTGCTCAAAGCAATGTGATGCACATTCGTCAAAAGCATTGGAAACTTATCTCCGAGCACGGGTGGCTACTGGAGAGCTGAGACTATAAAAAGTATAGTGATGCATTGAATTCTGAATCCTTTGGCATAAATGTTCGTCTTAAAGTTCTTTCAATTCTTCATTTGGTGCACACTGCATCCCGATTGGTAACTTGTCACGCAAAAGTTTTATTGTACCATGCTAACTCATTGCCAATGTGGCAAGTACTTTTTAGTTGTATTTTATACATGGCCCATACTTGACTGTTGAAATTACAATGATTTTTGTTACAAGTAAGTGTCTGTAAATAGTTATCTGAATAAAGTCTTCAAAGTTGTTTTTTGATGATACTGTATTAGAAGATAAGTTAATAAGAATCTTTACCTCACTTGCAGGAAAAAGAAAGAGAAATGGACATTTTACAACAATCCCTTCAAGCAGCGGATATTCTCTCTGGGGAAGATAATGATATTTTTGGAGAGCTTGGAATCACATTCAATAATTCCTCTGTGGAAACTGTTGGATTGGGCGATGATCTTTCTGCTCTGGATTCCCAAGGAAATGCACTGTTTAATAATGAGACTAAAGCTCATGACCAATCACCATTTCCTAGTTTTAATGAATCTAATGACTCAAATTCGATGTCTGGTTTTGATACTTCGCAATTTCTTAATACTTCCGCACCAATTAACTCAGCACAATCTGCACGGCATACATCATATGAGCAACAGCCCACTGAATTTGCTAAGCAAGAGAATTACCAACATTTACCTGTTTCATTACATTCTAATCAACCTTCATCATCTGCAACAACGGTTTCCCCCTTTGCTAATCAGCACGAGGGGATGACAAATTATGCAAACCAATATCAAACTGTCCAACAAGTTTCGATGCAAAGCGTCTCGCAACCTAGCACAACAGTTGCTACTTACCAACCTTATTCAAAAGCAATATCAACGGTTGCTTCATCACCAGTGCTTACAAGGCTTCCATCGCAAACATTGTCAACTCTACTTAATCCACAACCCAGTACACTATCTGCAGACAATTCACCGGCGACTTTGCCTGTCGGAATTCGAATTGCGACACCCAATACTTTTCAAAATGACACTAATATAGTGCTCGACAACAATACCCATGTCACACAAAATGCTAATGTATTAAGGACGTCCACTCCTATTCAAATACTCCAGCCCACTGCTGTTCAGCAAAACCAAACTCAGCTTATTACTGTGCTTCAAAAGCAAAATAACATTCGAGTGAGTTCTCCTGTCAATCAAAATGTGGCATCTGCCCAGTACATCAATGGATTGACAGTACAACCACATCAAACAAACGTAGTCAACCAAAACTCTAATGTTGCAGTGTTGAGAGTCGCAAGCTCAAAACAAAATATCAACATAAGTGATCCGCAAGTAAGTTGCTTATTAAAAAAACTTATTGGACAATTTGTTGCTGAAATATTTTTTTATTTTTTTCACAAATGTCCTTTTGAATATTGTTACAGCTTGTCAAAGCCCTCACAGCCAATTTGTTGCAGAAACAGCAAACTTCTGAAATGCAGAATACACAGCAACCTCCCCAACAGCAATTCGTGAAATTGGACCACAACAACTCTGTTATTAATGTCATTTCACAAAGGTAATTCTGCAATATTTGTAGATATGTACAATATCACTACAATAGATACTACACTTGTTTTGAAATTTTCTGGCCAGTTTAATGAAGATGTAAACTTATTTTAAATTATTGAGAATGCGATATCAAATTGTAACTGAATATAATAAAAAAACATTGCTTTCAGACAACTATACTTACATTTCTGTCCATACAGTAAGAGTGTTGCTGTATAGACTGCCAAACAAATGCCCTATTCATATTTTTTCTGAGTAAAACACGTTTTCTATATTCTTTTTTATAAGACCGCAACCGCAGGTAAGAGGAGCGCAACAAATTACTCTGCAAAATGGCCAAACAATACTACTGAATAGTAGTCAACATGTCCAAGTGCTTCAGGCTCCAACACCAGCACAGAATGTCGCTTCGTCACTACCTAACTATCCCAAATCTATAAAAAACTCTCTCCAGCCTTCAAAGTAAGCTGAATTTATTTACTTAGCTAAATACATTGATAATTTTCATCTGAGTTGCAAAGATTATTATCTTATTTTTAGGTCTGGTCAAATGCCAATAAAAGGAATACAAATTGCCAGTGTTAATATTCCTATTGCATCACCTTCTGCCAACACTACCTCAGTTGATGTTGCACCAACAGCAAATAGCATTTTAGCCATACCTGTTGTAGCCAAACCTGGTTCAATTTCAAGCACTGTGACTTCTGCAAGTTTTGAAACTGGTGCCACTGTTGCAGTATCACGAATCACCCCTTCTGTGGCGACAACGTTGAAATCCTCCACAGTTCGAAATCTTCTTACCAATTCGATATTGAAGCAAAACAACAATACCTCATTAACTAACAGCAATATATCACAACCCATTATGCAACAGCATCAAAGTACATCAAATGCGCAGGTTGTGATGACAGAAACAAATGGTCAGGTTGGTGTGAATTTACTTGTTTAAAATTATGTTTTTTTTTTTACCATTTCTTTAAACACATATGCTGTATATACCTTCTTATTGTGTTCAAAATTCAGGTTGCTCGTGCATCAATGGGTCCAACGTTAAGATTAAATCTGACGCCACAACAAGCTAGTAAACTAACGACCTCTCAACTGCAGACTATTATAAAACAGGTAAAACAAAATTATAATGAATCATTATGATAAAGTAATAAGGCTTTGTCAGACTATAATCTTTTTCATACTGTAATTTTATGGTATGGCATGGTTTTGAGGCTAAATTCCAGCCTGAGTTATATCTCTGCAAAAGATGTTGGCATTTTCGTTTTCCGCAGCTCAAGAAGTCTAATATTTATTTTGCAGCATCGTGCTACATTACAAGCCAGAGCTCTTGCAAATGCTGATTCTAGAATACCAACTGCGGTTGATGGTGGACAAGCGATGGATACTAGTTCATCATCTCAAGCCACCATTGTGAAAAATACACTTGCAGGATCCAAGTCGCTTGCCTCAATATTAAAGCCTTCAGTAACAGCTGCAGTGGTTCGTTTTTTTTTTTTATCAGTGCAATTTGACTATCTTTAATAAGACTTTGCACAAATGAATCTACCTGAAATTGTTTCTTCCATTAAACAAAATTTCTACAACCTATTATTTATTTTGTTTCTACTTAAATTAAGACTACTGTGGCTTCAAATTCATCCGTGACTGTGAGTCGGCAGGGTGGTGTAGACCAACAATCTTCTGTTCAGGCATTTCGTGTTGACCCGACATTAACAGAAGGACAGATTGATGAAGTGAAGAAGCTACTCACAAATCGCACAATTGCATCTAAGGTAATTTTTTATTAGAAATAAAATTTGTATTCTGACTTTTTCATCGTGAATAACCATACCTTTTTTTTTAGCTCCATCAGTTATCAAGAGAACAGCGGCAGCTCGTCCTTGCATTTCAAGCACAAATTAAATCAATGTCGCCACCTGTTCAACAGTATTATTTAAGAAATCCTCAACTATTTATGCAAAAGGTATCAGAACTTTAATTTTTATTGTAAAGTACAGATGCTTTATTATATTTAGTCAATGCTGATACATTATCGTGGTCATATTTAGAACATTGCTATAGCCAAATCTAGGAGAAACAACATGCTAATTTTTTTTTTTATCGAGGTGCTGCAACAAATCCGAGCTGGGAAACCTTTCATACTAAATGTGAAAGTAGATGTTCAGCAAAATAAAGTCCAAGTTGTCCCCACCAATGTGAGTATTGGGTTTATGTAAAAGTTATGATTTCGATTTTCAGTTGTCCTGGGAGTTGTTTAAAAATTAATAATACATAAATACACAAAAATTTTATATATGTATACTTATTCATCACGGTAGCGACATATACTGGTACCTTGCGGCAGCGCTACAACCACAAACCTGTAAATATAACTATTTTATACTACAGGCCTATATACTATTTATGTATTAGTTTTTCAAACAACTCGCTAGGCGTATGTAAAACCGTCTTGTTGTTGAAAAAGTCTGCGGGGCGAAAATTCTGTATGCCCCTGGAGTCTTGATCATTCAGCATTGAAATTTTGATATTTTTGCCGTAGCAATCAATAATTACATAAATAATTTCTATTTTTCAACTGCAAGAAAAGTATATTGTATTTGATGATGTTTTTTCTTCACAGCAATCGAGCAACGTACAGCACCCGACTATATCTCTCACACAAGATCAGCCACGTTCGACTCGTTTGGCCGCTCCGTCCCCCACGCGTATAACACCTGTAAAACCTTCTCAGGCATCTTCGAAATTTTCTCCGATTTCTCTTAATCAAGTAGCCACTACTGCCGCCAACATCACTGTGCAAATGCCAAAGAAAGCCATAAAACGACCAGCACCTGCGACTTCAAAAGTATCATTGTGAGTTAGATTTAAGGATTATCATATCAATATTATAAACATTCGATTTTTAATTGCTCTGTCCAGTTTCTTTTGATTCTGAATAATATTAATTCATAATTTTGGAGTGTTTAAACATATCAATAGAATTTCAGCATTTTCGATCCTGTCATAATATTTTTATTTAGGGTTCTGGAACAACTAGAATGTCACAAGAAAATGACCACAAATCCTGATTGTGTACATCCTTTCAAGTCTGTTCGAGATGCAATCAGAAGACTTGTTCCATTTCATACGTGCAATATACCTAATGTAAGTCAGTCTCTCATTCCTGATTTCATGTATCGCCATATTATCTTTAATAATTTTAAACATTCGTTTTAGGTCAAAGAGGAGCATTTTGAAGAATCTGAAAAAATATTTGACAAAATCGCTGATCGGATAGTTGCAAGAACTCGAGCGATGGTGAACAAGTATCACTTGCTATCACTTCGCGATTCAACTGTAAGATTTGGGTTTCTGTGATATAGCAACATGGCAAACATTTACGGAGATGCTTTTTTGACATTGTGTCCTTTGCATATTTTTTATTCAGAGAGATTCATGTTCTGCTGAAATGGTTATGATCGAAAGAATGTTCCTGCAAAAAGAAAAAGCCAAACTTGCTGAAGACAAGGCAAAGTTAAAAGGTATATACATCCAAGCAATAATATTGTTTATATTATTTTTGGATTTGAATATTTAATAAGATAATTAAAATAATAGAATTGGTACTAAATTCATCAGAATTCATTTGGATAATGTATTCAACACAATGATCTATTGGGGGTTATAGAGTTCACTCAAAATAAGGTTGCCAGATCTAAGCGCTGTGTATTTTTATGCTTATTACCAGCAGTCATATTGAAAGCATTCAGGATTTGATCAAACATAAGTGTTCAACCAGTCAGATATAACATTCTTTAATCAGTTTTTCATATCTCTTCAAATTTTTTAGAAAATCCCTCACTCATAAAAGAGTATTTTCCAAGGCGGTCTTCAGAGGAAGCGAATACAACTGATATTGATGGTAAGTCGGTTTTCATTTATAGAAAAATACTGTCAATATCAATTTTCTAACAACCTGTTTTGTAACAGATAATTTGGATACAGGGACCGCTGGCACAAGTCCGCAAAACTGCCTTCAGCTGGATACATATTTGAAAAATGAAACAGACTCATCAGGTTTTGATCAAGAAGTTTCATCTTCACCGCATTTTTATAAAACTGTACCTGAAAGTAGTGCGAGTGACTCTGAATGCAGGTCGAACTTTAACAATCGTTTAATTTCATATGAATCGACTTCAAGTCCTGGTGATTCGAAACGAATAAGGGTAGATGTATCAGATGCAGGATCACAAAGCTCTTCTGAAGAGACGTTGCTTCTTGAAGCTGTCGATAGTATTTTGCTACCGTGACATCCTCTTCTAGAAAGTACATATTTTAAAAATGAGCTTATTAAACGCAAATGGAGTAAATTGTATGATCAATTGGGTGCTTCGTTTCTTACTCTCGATTCAGAATTTTTATCAATCAAGTTGACGATATTTAATGCACATCTATGCTCTTTATCTTTCACTTACTGCTCTGTGCTTTGTTAACATAATGTTAGCGATATTTGAAGAACCATTATTTTTCTGTTTGAAAACTCGTTTCAGTGTCCAGCTAAGTGATTCACAGGATCTTGTGATATTCAATTGTGGAATAAATGAATCCCCTCCTTAGGAAAAAAAATTCTCTAGCATCACCTTCTTGATCTATATTATGCAAGTTTTGATAATTAAAAGCACCTTATTCTTGTTTAATCGATTGGATTTTGTGGTATGTCTGCGTTTTTCTGTAATTCACCCTGGAGTGGTGTTATACTTCAAATGTCTTATTGTGCTGTCTCCTAGCGGACAAGTTAATGTTCTTGGTACTGAACTATGTTGCTATATAATTGAAAACTTCTCTATTTTGTATTTTTTTTATGTTGTATGGACTAAGCAATTATGACATTATAAAATTGTTTATGGACTTGTGAGTTGTGTTTTCCATGACTGGCCAGTATCATGTTGTGGAAATTTGAGGATAAAATTTCCCATACACTTTACTATAGCAAAACTTTTGAGTGTTTTGGCACTCACGAACGTGTATAAACAGTGGCATGCCTAGAAAGGGGCAACATGTTGTGGGGGCAGCAGAGCCAAGCTGTAGAGTTTGCGCAATTACACATGTTTTCCTCAATGTTCTTTTATTTAATTAGAAGCTGACATTGTGTGTGTGTGTCTTGTATGACAGACAGTGGTGATGGTGAGTCCACAATGGATGTTTCCCCGACCCTTATCTCCACAAAAATTCTTCCTATATTCTAGAATTACAACATTTTTAGGGCTCATTTTAAGAGTAGTTTCGCGAGTTAGCACCTTACCTGGTTTATATGGCCCGTGGTTCGCTATATGATTAGGCTTTATTTTCGACAGAATTCTTCCCCGCGAAAAATATATTTTTTTATCGCATACACTTATTATTAGATTGAATTGACAAAGGCCTCATTTCGATTTTATGGTTGAAATCATTTCACATTTATTGCAATAATGCGTGACTTGACGGTCTCTGCAAAAAAAAATGACCGTCGACTTTGTCACCCGCGGGTCAGTCGTAAATAGTCTCTGAGATAAACAAAGTGAATTGGATTCCAATGAAAGTAATATCAACTGTCCTTAGACAACGAAAATTTCACTTTTTCCAAGTAAATTTCGCTTTTTGGATTTCCGTTTAACTACCTCACTCAGACGGAAAAAATTAGACCCACTTCTTTTTTTTAGCTTCATACTTCAGTTGTCGAACTTTTTGTCAAAAATAATTTCATCCAAGTCTTTCTTATGGATTCAGTCTTTCTGTGACTACATCCAAATATATATACTACTACGGGTTGCCAGATCCCAGCGATTAAAAAAAAGCCAAATCAAGACACAAAAAAAGCAAACAATTTTACCAAGTACAAAAGCCCCATAATTTGTCAGATTTTAAGCCCTTGGCAACGTACTGATGATGATGTAGAGCCATCCGTTCATTCAGTGTGGCACACAAATAGAAGGTAAAGTTCCTATAGAACTGTAGAAGGTGAAATAAATATCAAGTGGACAGAATTATTTTACCATTAAATATATACAATACAGGGTGCCGCTTCAGTATGTAATATACCTACATGTTTCTACTTAAACTTGTGATATACCTTAAAAAATTCTCCCTATATCGTACTTTACTATGGAAAATTTTTTCACTTTTTAAATTTATAAACCCTCAATTTTATTAAAAAATTATATAACCCTGTGCCGCTCACAGGTGGACCACTGATATCTGATTCAGTAATTTTAGCGTAGATAACCACATCGTTCGTGAGACTAAATTTTGATTACTGCAATTGCAGAATTAAACTAAAGCTCACATAAACCATATCAGGCATAATAAAAATTAAGTTATACGACTACTTTTTGGAAACAGAGCTAAAAACTGACAAATAACACGCAAAACTATAAAAACGAGGCAATGTTTACAACCCTGCTTGAACATCTGTCTGAGCAGCTGCACAAACTGCAATTATTTCTTATTGGGTATGGTTGAGAGTTAATGTAACAAAAAGGGAGTCGTTGCTCCAGGAAAGCCTGATGTTAAGTACCGGTAGCTAAGTGCAGGTAATAGGCTATTGTTCAGTTGTTACACCCTAAATATTGTACTTTATATGATTTTGATAATAGACACTAGAAAAATCTTGAATAAAGCCAAAAAAACGCCAAAAAGCCAAACGGAAATTCTGACGCCAAACGCGTTCGAAAAAAGCCAAAAATGGCAAATTTGGCGTTAAAAAAGCCAATATGGCAACCCTGACGGGTTGTATCGTAGTAGTAGTATATTTCGTTGTAAATTTGATCAATGTTAGTGTTCATTATTAGTAGTTTCATTGCAGTAATGGGGGTTTCAAGAAATTCACTCATCACCTTTCTTTCATGATGTTGTTCCCGAACAATCGTCATCGTTTTCAGTATACAGCAACGACTAACTACAGTAAATGATTTTGACATCGTAAATACTTTTCAATACAATTTCAATACAAAAATATTTTTCTCGTTGTATGCGAAAAAGTCATGAATGAAAGGGTTAAACTATCGAATAATTTTTGGAAATACGACTTAAAACTGACATCTGTCTGAGCGAATGGAGTGTCTGAGCGACTGCATAAAGTGCAATTGTTACGTCATCGTGATTATTGTTGATTGGACGTTGTTACAGAAATAACCGAGAAAATCGAGAGTCGTAAGAAGTCGAATTGTACATTATTTGCATATCATCAGAGCGTTTTTATGCTCGTCATTACCATAATCTAAACATGCATCGACATTCTGAAAAACTTTGGATAGGTAACTTACATGTGCGAGTACACAGTTTAAAAATCCACGAATTTGTGAATTCAGCGGCTGTGAACCAAAAGCGAGAGGTGCCGAGTAAGGGGATTACCGTATCGAGAGCGTCCATTTGCAGACGCGGCAATCGATAAACAGCATTGACATTTGTTTATTTATTTGAACTGATGGATGTGTTCGAGTTATTGAGGGTGCAGGATGCTGTGTGAACTGCTAAGCATACTGCAAGTTCTATGGCGTGATTGTGAATACCGCTACGGAATTAAATGACATGTAGCCTACCTAACTGCAGAATTGCTAACTCAATCAATAGTGGTAAATAACGGTACCGGTACCGTATTTACCGGTGGTCTAGCGGCTAGCCTACATCACCGTACCGGTACTACCCTATTACGGTACACGCAACTGAAAACGAATAACTGGCTAACTATTACCATACAGATACAGCCATACCTGATATACACGGTAGCCTACCTACTGGTGTCTGGACGAGAGACGGTGGTTCGACATATCATTTAGCTGTCTATCGGCTTTACTCTCCCCGGAATACAGGAATAAATATGTAAATCCTGTCCTAATGTCTGAATGTAGTCTAGGTACTGTTCCAGTACAATTTTGTGTCGAATCTGACTGTCAGACTGTTTGAATTTCAAGATCAAGCTGACATGATTTTTACTGGTGCAAGTAAAAATGAAAAATGTGTCTATCCATTAAATTGATTATCAATATTGATTCATAGTCTTGTCGGAGCTAATGTCTTCATAAACTGTTTAATTCAGAATTTAGTGAACGTCTGTATAATAATAATAACAGTATACGAGAAGTAAATTGTAATGGCGCCGCCAATTCATGTTGACGTAAGTGTAACAAAAGATGGAGAAGTAGCAATTTTGACAATGTCAGGTACTCAAAACAGAATTAACACGATGTTTTGCAAAAAGTGGCTGAAAGCACTGGACAAAGTGGAGTCCTGGCCGGAGGTGAAGGCTCTTGTTACAACTGGTTCTGGGAAATTTTATTCCAATGGGCTTGACCTTGAAAATTTGATGACGTTAACAGAAGATGAAGGAACTGAATTTGGTAAACTGTTTTTGGAATTACGAAGACGCATTTTGTGTTTTCCAATGGTTACTGTGGCAGCAATTAACGGCCACTGCTTTGCTGGTGGCATGTTGATTGCTTTTCTTCATGACTACAGAGTCATGCATGATGGACGAGGTTGGATGTGCCTAAATGAGATAGATCTTGGAATGGTATTTACACCTTCTTTAAAAGCAATAATAACGACAAAATTCACTCCAGTGATGATCAGGGAGGCTACCATATTTGGGAATCGCTTTACTGGGCCACAAGCATTAAAATTGGGATTTATTGACAAACTGGCTGACAATGGTAAATCTGTCCAAGTAGCTATTGATTTGGCTCAATCACTCACAGCTGGAAGGTCGTATGGTCGTCAAATTGTACATGATATGAAGGAAGATTTTTATGGCCATATTGTTTTTGATGATATGGCAAAGTTGGAGAGACCAAAACCAAAGTTATAATCATTCTTTTAGGTAATTACTATTTTATCACATGATTTTAATTGATTTGTTACATAATCTATGCATTAATTATTAACCGAATCAGTATTACTAATTATTTACTATCCATATTTATTAATTACATTACATTTTAACGATATTCATTGTGTGTTTTAATGTTTAGTTTTAATAACATAGATGACACTCTTTCATACATCTTTTATATATACATAATATACCTACCCCGTCAATTGCATAGGATTTTTACCAGTCAAGCATAAATGTAGCAATAATGAATGTATCAATATACAAAATTTATGGCTAAATAGAAAATATGGTGAACAAATTTCTTGTAAAATACATTTTTGATCAACTTTCCTGTGGAATTTCAATTTCTTTTTTTGTGCGATATTTATAAATGCTGACTGTCAAGGATTTCTAAATATTTTGTGTAAAACTGGTATTTATGTACAAATAGATAGACATTAGGTAGGACTTTTTGTTTATTCTATTTAATTATACCTTTTATAAATTGAGCCATAATCTTTACTAACATGGAGATTTGTGGGACAGAATGACGAACCATTGTATATTGAATGCTATTATAGGTCGCTTATGAGATTTTCAAAACAACGTTCTATTTAGTATTTTGTAAGTTTCATGTTTCCTATTGTTATTTTCTCCATGAAATGTTGCTCCAAAATTTGTTCCTGTATTTAATGACATTTTTTCAATTTCACCTCTCACGAGTATGTTGACTTTGCATATTGGTTAGTTAGACTATTAATATTTTATTAAACAAGACCATGTCACCTCAAGTTCCCATACACATAAGTGTAGAGAAGAAAGGAATTGTTGCTGTTCTTACTATGTCTGGATCACAAAATCGAATTAATATGATATTTTGTGACAAGTGGATGGAAGCACTAGACAAAGTAGAAAGCTGGCCAGATGTGAAAGCTCTGGTCACGACTGGTTCTGGCAAGTTTTATTCAAACGGACTTGATCTTGAATATTTGATGGGGATTTCCCAAGAGGAGTTTGCAGAATATGGCAAACGATTCATGGAGCTGCGAAAGCGTTTGTTATGTTTTCCCATGGTAACTGTTGCGGCCATTAATGGTCATTGTTTTGCTGGTGGAGTGATTATCGCTCTTCTTCATGATTACTGTGTCATGCAAAATGGGAAAGGATGGATGTGCTTGAATGAAGTTGATTTGGGAATGCAAATGCCTCCATTTGTTCAAGTGTTGTTAAAAACCAAATTTTCACCAAGCCAGATACGTGATGCAGTAATATATGGAAGACGTTACACTGCCTCTGAAGCACTTGAATTTGGTTTAATTGATAAAGTTGCGAATGAGGGCCAGGCTGTTCAAGCTTCTGTAGATATGGCTCGTTCTTTAGTGGAGAAACGAACATATGCAAGACAGATGGTCCATGATATGAAATCGGATCTTTATAGTCATATCCTTACAGTGGATGAGCATTCTCGCCCAAGTCCCACTACTGAGCAGAAATCAAGACTTTAGCATCTAATTGCAAGATATTAAGGTTACAACTGATCAGTATTCTACTTTACAACGTGATTAGTCAAAGAGCCATTGTTGCAGCTAGTTATTCTGTCATTTGTTAATTCATTTTTCTTTGATCCTGCCATTGCGTGTATGAAAGCATTTTCAGCGTATAAATGTGTATTTCTTCACAAAAGTGAAATTGGCAGTTACCACAGAATTAATGAGGCCTTTTTCAATATATATGAAATATGTATCAATTTTAATATATTATCACTGATATATTAGAATGGTGCTAACACCAACCAGACTGTAAAAGATAATTAGCTTGACATCAAAGCTATATCATTTGTGTGTATGTATATTTTAAGTGCAATTGATTTTTGTTTCATTCACTAAATACTGTATTTCCACTATATTGAAATTATGCAATTTTAATTCCGAATTTGATGTAACGGTACTTGTTTTTGAGTTCATATAATTTAAAATTTATTTTCAAATAATTTTAGATGAAGTCATACTTAATGAAATGATACGAATGAAAATATAAATCAATATTTTGTATGTAAACTCAACTGCTTCTATACTCAACTCTTATGTTAATAACTCCAAAATGGAGACGCAGCGTATTATTGTGATATCTGCCATTGTGGCCATGTGCATCGCTGTATTGATGTCTGGATATTTCACTCGGATAAAGAATCAAGGTAGGTATAAAGCCTTGTAACAACTTTTTGTCGTTATTTTGTTAAACTAAATGTACACAGTTCCTTTCAGGTGTGAAAAGAATGAAGGATACTGCCCACAGGGATATGCCGAGTGCCAGAAGTGATATTAATTCGCAAACTTCGTCTTCTCAGTCTCAAAAGAAAGAAGGTTGTATTATTCAAGATTTATCATAATCATAATCAAACATTGTTATGATTATTATATTGGAGAGTGGAATTTTGGAAAATTGAATATCCATATTAAATATACACAACTTCTGTATTTTCTCCTCATCTCATAACTTGGAACAAATGCTTATATGGCTATTAAGATATATCAACGACTTTTTTCACATTTAAGTTACCATTGAACTATATATTTCATCTACTCTACAGGTAATAATAACAAAGGAAAGAAGAAAAATTGGGCAAAAACTATGCTCCCATTTTACAGCTTGGGAATAATTGCTTATGTTTTGTTTGTTGTGGGAAAAATTATGTCAAAAAAGGTAATGTAGACATTTCAATGCTTTAATTATACATCATGTCATCATCATCCCTTATTAACATTTGTTCGATTGTTTAGTATTCAGATGTAAGGAAAAATGATCATGTGAAATTAAGTTGGAACAAGCAGCAACGTTCAACCAAGGGAAAAGCAAAAACCAAAATTAGTAAGTTTTATTGATTGCTTATTGTTCTTCATATGCGTATGTAATATTACTTATACATGAATTTCAGCAATGCATGAACTCCGTCAGCTTGAGGACAAATTACAAGAGACTGAGAAAGCTGTACAAGAGATATTCTCCAGAGCATGTGATGCGATGTCTGCGACACAAAAGACTTTAGATAGGTAGGTATTATGAATATTTTTATTCCATGAACTTTATGCATTTAAATTACGCCTGAATATTTTACACATCATAGTGATAGTTCTGATGATGAACACATTCCATCTCTTACAAGATATCCATCCACTTCTGCCACCAATTCTGAAAATGAAGAGACTGCTAACCGAAATAAAACAAGGTTAAAGAAGGTATAAATTTTATTTGATTTACGTAACCTCGCTTTATAAGCATTTATCAACAGATATTGTAAAATTCCATGTCTCGATGTAGGCAGATTATTCAGCGCTTCATAAGTATGTGTACCAATATGGAGGTAACTAGTTTTGTTTGCCTATTCGACATCAAGTTGCTCAAAGGGACTGAAAGCTATGGGCAGGGGGATATTCACTTGGCTAACACAGACAGTCCCAGAACTCGTAATAGAACTGAAATAAAGAAAATCTGAATAAAATTATGGCCTAACCCTACCCTGGTTAACATATTACGGGAGTACCGATTATTTAGTCTGACCTATGATAAGACACATGGTCAAAATGTAATTGCTGAAGTGAGAATTTAGAGACTTTACTGGCTAGCCAAATTTAAAACAAATATATTAAGAGGCATTTATTTCCATGGGATAGGGCGTTCGTGATCAAGAAATATTTGGAATCAAGCGTGTTCGGAGAATAAAGCGAAGTATTCGTGATAGAAGCAAAGCGGCAGCACCTTATATGTTACAAGAATCTTCTAGTGACGATGAATGTGTGAGTCCTATGAATACAAGAGATGGTCGAGGTAAAATTTCAGATTCATCTCTGCTGACACAACCACCAAATCAACAAGAAAATAATGAAGAACTTATGGAAACTGCCAATAGTATCAGGAAGACAATGTCTGAGTTGCAGGTTTATTTGGATGATAAAAAGGCTGAACTAAGTGGAGATTAAACTGCTTGTTCTCAAATGATTTTTGTAGATTTTGAAATATAAAACATGTAGTGGATATAGTACATAGCAATTGATACAATATTTTATAAACCTATTTTTGTACTACATTATTATCTCTTTGCATCATACTCTTGCTTTTCAATTCATAATGTCAAAAAGGCTTCTTAGAAAGTACCAGCATTCTGTTTTTGATGCCATGAGGTAAAGATCAAAATATCTGAATCAATTATGGATACAATGTAAACTAAATGTTTTATTTTAGCTAGTTATTTTATGAGGCCGTTAATAGATTTCTTAAAGCGGAATCAGCACATTATGTGATTATTTAATGCTTCAGCGTCAATGAAAATTGGCAGATAATACTTTTTTTTTATTAAATTCTTATTAATTTCAATCAATGATGGTGAGTTATTTCACTGTGAAGCGACATGAACTTTAGCTAGCGCATTGCAATATTGTGGGTCATCTGCCGTAGCGTAAATGAAAACTGGCCGATAATACTTTTTTTTAAAACTCTCTTTAATTTCAATCTATGATGGTGAGTTATGTCACTGTGAAGCGACGTGAATTTGAGCACATTGCAATATTTGTAAGTCTTTATGTTATTCCTGAAATGTGTTGTATGCGATCGATTAATGATTAACAAAAACTTGTGTTGTGCTTTCAACAGAGGCCAGACGCGTTACGATCAGCTCCGATTCAGATATCCCTAAATATTTAATGATAGGTTCGATTATTTTTTTGCAGTTTGCAGACATTTGTTGTCGCTTAATGAAATCAAAGCTTTACGTTATGTTGTAAACATTATTTTCGTGCTTTATTGTCACTGTGCTTATACTTTTTTATATCTATGAATGTCGTTGTTGTGAAAATATTATATTCTGCAATCTGCAGTCAATACCTGACATACTTACCATGTCAAAAATCCAAACCACTACTAGAGAGTATAGCGCTTGATCTATTGTTACGATTTGTTTCATGCCGTGTGACAAGGGGCGTTTACACTGGATGCGCCCGAAATCGCCTGTTGTTGTTTCTTTTGAAAAAGGGAGAATTTACTACAAAATGATCACCACCTTATGGAATTTCCGTGTATCCCTAAGTTATTTATGACTTTGCCTTCAAAATGCAGTTTCAACTATTTTTTCATTGATTTGTTTAGTTTAGATGATTCTTGCGTCTGCTGAACAATACACTGGCTTGATACATCTCAAAAATAGGATGAGACATGAACTTATCAAAGATAACCGTTTTCTTCGTTGCCATGTCACAGTGTCTGGGAAAAAAAGTAAAAGCGACATGTTGCAAATTGCAATACGATAGCGCAGAATCCCGAATATCCCCGATTTATTGGCGTTGTTATAGATACATAATCAATCAACAGATTTTCAAAGGGATTTATAAAAATAAAGACGAAATCCGGAAATGTGAGTCTATGCATTCGGATTGCACGCGCTATTGTCGAATGCGTTTTCCTCATTCTGTAGTGCTTGACGAGGAGCACTACAGTATGGTGAAGTATTCCTTTACTTGCGGACACTGCTGACGTTGACGGTGTTTCTTGTGTTTTATGCTGGTAAACACGAATATAATAAATATAAACACAAATTTATTATTCGCTGTCAGATTAGGATTTGCAGGTTCTTTGTACATAGTAGGTAACGTAGTTGAAATATCTGAATATAGTCGCAGTGGAAGAAAAAATTAATGAATTGAAAAAAGAACATTAGACCTGACGGAATCAGAAATTACCAAAAATCCTAAACTTTAAATTAGGAGCATTTGTAGACGATAGTGCAAATAGCAGTGGCGGCGCGTCAATAGGGCCAACCGGGGCAATGCCCCGGTTGTTTTTTGGGTATAATAAAAAATATTCGAAAAATACCTCAATATCGGTTGCACAGACTGTCTACACTAGCCATATTCTCCCGACATGGTTCATTTTTCGCTCGCAAAGCCTTCGCCGAACGTCGACGGGGCGACGCGATTTTGCCCCGGTTGCTCATTGTATATCGTATTCTCTCTTTTATCTTCCACTCGCCGCGTTTGTTTTCTGTTTTTTTTTTACTAAATCATCGGGGCTAGCCCCGAAATTATGACGACACAATGCCGACGTTTCTTACAACAACGTGTTGACATATTCACGCATTCCTTCTCGTTCGTTGGTTGCTTGAAGAGTTGATAGTTTCCTCGCCTTCGTTTTTGTCGCTTGTTTCGCTATTTGAATCAGTTAGAGACCTTTAGTCCATTTGCTTTCGATTTTCCACATTCCTTTTGAGCTCCTCACTTCTTTCCGGCTTCGCATTTCTTAGCCTTAGACCTCATAATGAATAAGGTTGATGCACTACTTCGCACTCCGTTTTCGCAGCTGCCGCTGGAACAAAAATTAGAGGTACAACGTCTTGGGCCTTATCAACCAAAAAATTGTTCACTGGAACAATCCCATGACGGAGGAAAGCGTCGGCGTACATTCTGCGCAGAAACTTGGTATAAAAAACACGAATGGTTGTGTTACAGCGAGGACAAAAATGCACTTTTTTGTTTTTATTGCCTACTATTTGCTACCGCCCATGACTCACGTTGGTGTAAATTTGGTTTGAGAGATCTTAAACATCTTTCCGAGCGTGCCAGGGATCATCAATCTTCTATGGAGCATTTGGACAATGCAGTAAAATACCGAACATTCGGAAATGTTAATATTGCAGCACAGTTGGATGAAGGACGCGCGGTTTCTATTCGTCGGCACAACCAAAACGTCGAGAAAAACCGCCATGTTCTCGGTCGATTGATAGATGTTTTGAAGTTCATTGGTTGTCACGAGCTGTCCCTCCGTGGGCACGATGAACGGGCTGGCTCTTCTTCTAATAGAGGGGTATTTTTGGATATGGTGGAATACACCGCATCCCTAGATACAGTATTGAGAGATCATCTTGATGCCGCAACTGTTTCGAAAGGGACATCTAAGGATATCCAAAATGATTTGCTCGACTCAATGTATAAAATTTATTTACAACATTTGTCTCTGGAAATTGAGAATTGCCAGTTCCTTTCGATTCAGTCTGACGAGACAACTGACATCACGCGCGTTTCCCAACTGGCTGTGATTTTTCGGTTTGTGAAAGATGGTAAACCTACCGAGAGATTTCACAGCTTTGTACCAATCGTTGATCGCACGGCTTGCGGGATATCGGCTGTACTGAAAGAAGTGTTACAGCCTTACAACGCGAAGTCAAAATTGATAGCTCAAACTTATGACGGCGCGGCAGTCATGAGTGGGTCGAAACATGGTGTTCAAGTTTATATAAAAGAAGATTTCCTCATGCGCATTTTTTACATTGTTATGCACACCAATTTAACCTCGTTATTAAAAATATGTGTCTTGATACCCCTCTCGTCCGTATATTTTTTGCAAATGTTTCGGTGTTTTCTTCATTTTTTTCCGTTTCGCCGAAGCGCTCTGACCTCCTTCGCCAGATATGTAGCCGCCGTCTCCCAGCTTGTGCACCAACACGTTGGAACTTCCAATCACGCGTGGTGCAGGGCGTGTCCGAAATTAGGCCTGAGCTCATTGAGTGTTTCAATGGCATTCAGAGCTCTCCGGTTTGGGACGAACGCTCTGTGAGGGAGGCGGCAGGTCTAAAGCGTCTGCTAGAAGATGGTGAGTTTTCATTTTTTCTCCACAATATTCTATCACGTGGATGTATTATAAGGCGCATTGTAGTCAAGGCTAATGGATGAAGCGTCTGTGCAGTCGTGTATTTCAGACTTCTGCGATGCTGTATCTCGTATCCGTGAAACAATAAAATACGACGACACATGGAGTGCTTCTTTACGCCGCGGGCAAACAACGCAGCGTTTGATTTTGTCTGCAAAGGAATGCTGTGACATTCTGGTGAATCAAATAAGCGATCGTCTGCGCACTGAACACCTTGCCGCGTTCTCTTTGATGAACCCCAAAAATTTTTCAAAATTTGCACGTCAATTTCCCATCCATTTGTTGGCTACTGTCTCCAAATTTTACCCCATGATAAACGTGGGTAAATTGGAAAATGAATTGCGATGTATATACACCAATCAAACTTTTTTGAACATCACATCAACTTGCGCGCTCTGTGGGTTCCTCATAGATAACCCTCTAGTAACTACCTTTGCGGCGTCTGCAAAATTTCTGGACATCATTTTGACGACGCCTATTTCTTCCGCCGACGCAGAGCGAACATTCAGCACGCTGAAGCGTATTAAAACGTATCTCAGAAACACAATGAAGCAAGATAGATTAAATTCCTTGGCTGTTTTATCCATTCACAGAGAAGTTATTATTTCTGGGATGCATGACTTCAATCAGCGCGTTATTGAGCATTTTGCTTCCAAGAGACCGCGGCGTGTTGCATATATGTTCAAGCAGTAGAAGTCTAGCAGCATATATATCTATGAGTGAGCGACGCATGTCCTTATCTTTGCATTACCTTTCCTTTCTTCATAGTAACGTTTTAAACCTTATTTTAGGTTTTGTATGCTTTCCCGAAGTTTCTGTTAATATGTCATTGTATTTATCTGGGTAAATATTGCCTTTCCTTTTGAAAGAGGTTTCAAAATAAACTATGTCTATATTTATTAATCCCTTGACTTGGACCGGTATTAAAGACACTTTCTTATCGTTAAAAATTGTCGCTTTTGCCGATTGGTTGTTACCGATGGAATGGTTTTTATACTCATAAAATGATGGGAGAACTCACAGCGCTCATCCTGTCCCCGTAGATGGGGGTGACTTGGTCCCGCAGTAGCTTGCCCCGGTTGTCAAAATGACCACGCGCCGCCACTGGCAAATAGTCTGTGTACGTCTTTGCAAAAGTGTTTTGATACTGAGTTCGAAGACCTTGCTCAGTATATACGGAAAGAGAATCTTGAATTCCATTTAAATGATGATTCCATTTAAATGATACAAGATGATAGTGGATCTGTGCAAACGATCGCCGATGAAAGACTTCATCTATATTCTATATCGCACAGAACCCCAAGAAGAGACGGTCGTAACCAGGGCTGGGGAGTCGGAGCCATGGAGCCGTTACATTTTGATGGAGCCGGAGTTGGAGCCAAGCTTTTCATAACAGATGGAGCTGGAGTCGGAGCCGGAGCTAACAAAAATTTAGTGGCTCCAGGCTCCAGCTCCTAAATATCTCATTTTTTGTTTTTCAAATTTATAATTTTTTTTTGATAGCGTTACAAATGATAAAATCTTTTCTTTTCAGCTTATAATTCATTTCAAAAATTTTAGTTCCTAATATTTTTTAAAAAGTTTCCAGTTATTCTGTATGTTTGAAAGTTTAGTATCAGAATTTGAAGCGGTTCGCTTTTATCAAAATTTTGATTCCCATTTCCACTAAGCTGCAACTTTTCATGATAGCGGTCAAGCTCAAAAACCCTAATGGCCAGGGATTTTCGAAGAAGTGATTTTGGAATTTCCATGTAACATATTATGATTTTTTCGTGGCGTTGAATATCCAATCCATTTCAAATGTCTTCAATTCTGTTCAACGTATCTCGAGATTGAGTCGTTTTACGACAAAAGAAAGGTTTAACTACTCCAAAATGCACCGCAGCAGTCACCTATCATAAAAATGTATGGCAAAGTGCCCCAATATATCTTGTTTTGATCCATAACATAGCATGTTCTGGAGAAAAGTCTCATCAATTTCCGTTGTTATTTTTTGAATATATAAAAAGTATATCGCGAGTAAGATTGATTGCGTTTAGATTTATTTTAGTGACTGTATAATTTTCAAAGTCAACCGGTAATAATATGTCGTCGGCAAAAAAAATAATGAGATTAACATTTAACATAGGCATTTTTTTTAGCTGTTGGGAGTCTCCTAGAACAAAGTTTATAGTGTTTTCCGTTTCATTTTAGTATCTTATAATAACTCTCCAATGTGGAAATTCGGCTTGCGAATTGACTTCTCTATTTATCTTTAACATCTCATCGCTGATAATTATGAAAACGCCTCGATTCTAGAACCAACTTTTGGCCTGATTTGGGAGAGGGGGACGGCATCTAATTGGGTGACGATGGTAATTTCCATTTTTTGGGTCTGCTTATTCCATTTGTACCATAAAATACTGCCTCCCCGTCAGGCCAGTTTAAATTATCATGAGTTGAAGGGCTATTGCCGTTACTATCACATGTGCGTTGCATTTCGTGAAAAGCGTCAATTGTTTTCGTCGCCATTAACATTAGGCTATAACATCTTTTATTTCAGTGTTTATTTTTCCCTTAATCACAATTTCTCAAGATATGTTTTGTGTCACGCACCATATTTGTGAGAAAACGAGTTATTACATAATCATCGGTGATGAAATTCTAAGATAAATAAAGAAGTCAATACGCAAACCCAATTTTCCTGATTAAAAAGCGACATTATAGAATACCAAAAATAAAACAGAAAACACCATAAGTTTTGCTTTAGAATGGCCCACGACAGATTTTATTTGGCCGGCATGATTGCCAGTTATGTTGAACACAATTAAATTAAAATAAAAAGACAGTTATTATGGGTTTAATATTATGTGGTAGAAAAAGTCATTATGAGCTATTTTACCGAATGCGCAAACGCTGCGACCATTCCAGAAGCCGATTTTCCTTCCCGTCTTATTGTGGGGTTATATGTAAAACCCTTATATGCTGGGTAGACCGATTCGCCCGGAAATACAGCATATAATAATTCTCAGTGGATTCACAAGTTACATGCAGGAACAAAAAGGAATTATCATGACACCGACTTGAAGGGTGTTTACAGCCTAAATAACATGCCACACTTAGAAAACAATTAGCAAAATGCGTTATTGGGCTGCACTACTGATAATGGTTATGGAGTCGGAGCTGGAGCCAGCTCCGGCATAAAAAATGAAGCTCCGGAGTTGGAGCTAAAGATTGAATACACTGCGACTCCGGAGCTGGAGCCGGAGCCATCATGATTTAGAACCAGCTCCCTAGCCCTGGCCGTAACACAGGACCACTTATAGTTTGTTTTACCAATTGAAACATAGAGAATCAGTTCATAGCCAAAAAGCAGGACACTATCAAAATTAAAGATTATGGTATTGCAGGCATGACTTCTTTTATATAAATAGATCCTAATAACAAAGCTGTCATATATAGTTAAACTATCATAATTGCATTTTGAAATATTCATAGTTAGTTTTTGATGCTGTACACCAGGGGTGGGGACACCGCGGCTCGCCAGACTTTTTGTGCGGCTCTTCTCGATAACATAAATTATCATCCAAATTTTAACTAAGAGAAAAACTTTAATGTAAACTCTTCTAATTTATTAAAAGTCGTAAAGAAGTTTTCGTCCATGATTAAGACAAATTATGTTTTTGTATGAAAATCGCTGTAGCGTTGAATTTAAGTCAGTCAAGTCAGCAAATCTTTCGTCACAACGGTCAATGTTTATTGATGCGTCGGCGGTATGGCAGCTTAATTGCGGTGCGATATGTCCTCAATTAAGAAACGAAAGTACGAAGATGAAAACAGAGTTGTCAAGTCAGAATGGGAAGAAGAATACGCATTTACTAGTCAGGAGAATAAACCTTTGTGCATAATCTGCCATAAGCTACTAAGTCAGAATTGGGTCAGCAATGTAAAACGGCACCAGGAAACGAATCATGAAAACTTCTTACGAGACTACCCTTGTAAATCAGCTATATGGAAACACAAACTGAATGAGCTCAAATTGTGCATATATTTGAGCATAGCTGCCTTGTTTATCTATTTATTGTTATTAGACTCTTGTGTGAATTTCTTTTCTGTTCATGGTATTATGATAACAACTTTTCGAAGTTTGGCTAGTTTGGGTGATTGTTGGTGACGAATGGCAGCAGTTGTTGATCTCTAAGATTTAGTTTAGGTGTTAGAAGCAAATCTCTAGTCATTTCTTTTACCATGTTTATTGCTTTGCCAATCGAAGTCTGTTTGTAATTCGTTTTCATCGGGTAGTTTTTCATGCTTTTGGCATGTTTGTTGAAAAATTCGTCAGTTGAACACGTCTTCTTGTTCGTATAAATGGATCTTTTGGAATTTTCGTAGTAACATATTTGGGGTGGCACGACGAGGGTAGAAGATATTGTTGTGAGTTTCAGTTTCTAATTTGTTGTCTATGATATATATCAACTCTTATACCTAAAAATGCAATGTTGTCCGGTGAATAATCGAATGTGAACTTAATGGTGGGATGTATCGAATTTGCATAGTTTATGAACTCTCTGATCTCGGTTACGCCGTGTGTTCGGATTAGAAAGCAGTCATCGATGTATCTGAAATAGTACGGAGGTTTGACCTTGGCTGTAGCATCTCTGACTCCAAGTTTGCCATGAATGAGTTGAATGCGCGATGAATAAGTTTGCACGAATTGTTCAAAACTGTTGACCGGTAACGTAACAGTATTTTTATCCATCTTGTTCGAAGCGTTTTTTTTTGATTCAAGAATTGTTTATATAGAATAGAAAGAAAACTAGGAACTCCTGATACGTCAAATTTCAATTATGAAAATGTCAAGCCTTGTTTTTTACCTGAAACTGTTGATGATGTTCTAAATACATTGAAAAGTTCTAGCTCGTCAAAATATCAATTAACTTTAGCTCATTTTAATAGTCGATCATTACAAAAGCATATTACCCAATCAAGATCATACCCCAATTTTTTGATAATTTAAATTAAACATGCATTATCCTATATCTATATACTCAATACAATCTTCAAATATTCAAGCCTGGATTGGAGGATCTGAAACTTCTTATGTTCCGTACAGGATTGTGGTTTGGGGCACAACTGATAAAAATAGACTCTATTTTCTCGCAGTCCTACAACAGAGTTATTAGTAAGACTCCACTGCGTCATTGCATGGGTCCTGTTTATAAGCGTATGCACCTTTCGGGATTGAACGATGTATATATTCATGAAATTACCAAATTGATGTATAATATGCTTCCGGATATGCTTACGATACATACACTCTCAATATATAATACCTGGCATACCTATAACTTATGTATTCTCAGGTTTTATATTATATGAAATGTGATACTCGTCGTCGTCGCAGCTGGGACAAGCTGCTATATATATATACAGTATATATATGACTGTATGGACAGGTGCGATGAAGCTGGTGTGGAGTTCATATGGTGGTGTCAGTACGAACGTTAGTAGCTGTTGGTCATGGCGCCAGAATAGGACTCTCTGTTTTGCTTGACCCAATCTCGAAGACAGATTGAACTATCTGGTAGAGAATTGGCCAACATATCGAGTGTCGTAATCGAACTACTCTGGGCCAACCAAGTTGAACTACCCAGGTTTTACAATATTTAACGACAGCAATGGAAGTCATAGTCGTTAAAAAGTCAGTTTCCGCCAGCCAAAAGTTTAATAACTTTCTCCAAAGTTGATCGCGCTGCGGAGTGACATTTCTACAATTTGGAGTGAGGACTGCCGGCGAGTAAACAACTGTCACGGTTCGTTGTCGACCAAATCCTGACAATCTCGCCATTGTTATAGTTCTGTTTGTTATATGATAGGACCCAAGATTGCGGATTGTTCATTTATTGAAAAGAAAGAACTCGACACTTAAAATAGGATAAGTAGCAGACACAAGTAAAAAGCAACCAACTCCGACTTAACCGGACGAAGAAGGCAGAGAAACTTATCATCTGACCGCACCTCCGAATTCAAATTTTAGTGTCTCTCCAATAGCCAGACTGGGCAAAACGGCATTGAATAAGCAATAAGGAGTACGAAAAATAGTCTAGGGCAGTGGTTGTGGTTCTCAACCTTTTACGGCTCGTGGCCCCTTTCCGCAGGCTCTTTGCACTCGTGCCCCCCCCCCCCCCCCTGTTCATCATTCCGAAAAAAATTGACGTGTTAGATTGTATTATGTATTTACGACCTTTTATAGAATGCAAAAACAAACCACGGGCAAAAAGTAAGTCAAGAGCTTTTTATTGAACAATCAATGGGAATCTTGCGCTTGGGACTGTCTAAGATCAGGACGGTTCCCAGACTTCGCTTTGTTGGTAACAAGAGCAGAAAAAATAGTTTCGCGCAGATAGGTTCTGGCAAATTGAACTAGCAATGAAGAAGTTTTCTTACTAAGTAGTAGGTAAGAATCGCAAAGGGATAACCAAAAACTCGAAAAGTCTTTTTCTTCGATTTCAAAGCAAACTTGTTAGCATACATCGGCAGCGATGTCATCAACAAAGCCAACGTAACTGTCGTTCCATTTTTGTATTTTGGGCATTAGGAATTTACATATAGGCTCCTGCAGTAATAATATCGACAGTGATCTCGCAGTCTAGCGAAACTGCTCGTCTGCAGGTTAGATGGCCTACTAACAAACTATTCTGATTAGTATATTCAAAATTCAATTATGATCAAACAATTCGCTCACACAAGAAAGTGAATACACCTTGTGACTGAGGTAATAAAACTGAGGTGGATTTTCTTTCAAATGAAAAGTATGCAAACGAAGTCGCTTTATAATAAATTATTAGCCTTGTGTCGTGGCTCCCTTGGGAGGCAACCGGCCCCTGGTGGAGAACTACTGGTCTAGGGGGAAATAAAAAAAATATGTATTACAACGGATATCAAAGAGGGTCCGTGACACAACACAGCAATACTGATAGAATGTAGCCCTAATGATTTGGCATATATATATATATTATAGAATCGTTAAAAGTCCGTATATAATGGTATAAAGCAACACTTGCCAATTACAATCTCTGTCCGACTGAACATAATTATCTGGTATAAATAATATGTAAGTTGTAATATATTGCAAATGTATTAACAATTTTCATTACAATGAGATCAAGCAACCATACTGCGGCGTTGTGTAGCCCGTTATAAAGACGTTAACTTGTGATGTTATTCTTCTTTTCTTTATTAATCTGTAAAATTATATTCTTCATTTATCTCTTATGAAGAAAAAAATTAAATTAAACCGGGGAAAAAAAAGAAGAAGATTTTTTCAAGATTGAAACAAGAAAAATTGGAATAATACAGAAGTGTATATATAAAGAAAATAGCAGGGATAGAAAAACGATAACCTTTGCTTTGACGAACTCATCTGGTTCTCCATAGTTGGGGGTCTTGTCTTCTGGATTATATCCTAGAACACTCAGCATTGGCGCAATTTTCATCATATCTCTTTCTACGTCTTCCGGAATATTTCCAAACCATTGTGTGAGTCCGGCCAAATACAGGGGTTTGGATACTTGATCAGTGGATACCTCGGCCCTGTCAAGATAATATAGATAGAGTGGTTTTACCATTGCGTGAGCCCACTCAAATACAAAGGATTTGGTACTTGTTCAGTGGACAGCTCAACTAAATAAGTCTAAATTATCGAATATTTTTAGTTTAGGTTGGGAGTTGATGTTTTTATAGGTCATGAGTAATTGTTTGTTTATTCACAACTGTACAATCATTTTAGAGAAATTTTCAATATAAATTAAGCTATTTAGATATAAATGGCTGCTTATCTAGAGTTAGACCGACGGACGATGTAAAATACCTTGTAAAACACAGTGGTAATACATATATATGACAGATAAAAAGAACATTTTTTTTCTACATGTGCTCACGTTGAGAAATCACTTTCATTCGTATATTTTTCATGATGCAGAACTGCACTACTCCAAGGTATTCCCATAAACTTAAACAATTTTTTGGTAGTTGAGACTGGTTGTAATATTAATTGTTCGTAATGTACAAGTAGGCATGTCTTGTCACCAAGCTCTATACATTGTTTATACATTATTTTGATGTTTTCGTTCCATATTGACAGCGTTTCCCTGAAACAAAATGTATTATAAGGTTCCGATATATATATCGAGAATCCAATTCAAAATCAGAAAAAATAAACAGTGCTCTTTGTGAAGTAGAATCAAGTATGAGAATACAAAATTTAAATCAGATTAGTAATTAAGACTGACCTCGGTTAAACATTTGACAGTAAACACCACTCATCAAATAACCATTTACAGCAGGGGTCGGCAACCTTTTATCGCTTGCGGGTCAAAATTAAAGGTTGCAAGTCATTGGCGGGCCGCACATATTTTTAAACAGTTAAAAACCGAATGGAAGGCCAATGAATCACATTTTTCACTCAGATCCGACGTTAAATTTCAAGCAACGCTCGAAGGCTGATCATTTGAATATTTTCTGCGCCATTGCACCATTTGGACTCGGCATCAACTTTTTCACGTTTTGTTGCCATTTGTCTAATTATAATAAAATTATAGGCTCATTAAACGAGAATTATATACTTGTTAAAATATAATATAATGTAGTCCACACGTGTCTCAAAATAAATTCTGTTACGTAAAGAATATAATCGGCAAAATAGTTGTTTTGTTACTATATTTCAGTGTAGCGTCGTGGGCCGGATTATATTGCTCCGCGGGCCGTAGGTTGCCGATCCCTGATTTACAGTATAGGCTAATCATATTTCTATAAAAGTTACACCTAACCGATTGGGTTGTTCTTATTTTTGAATGTTGTCTTTGATCATAATAAAAATTTCCATTATTGAAATATCAAATCATAATAGGCCTACTGTTTGGGAGATTACGGTCAAGTAGGGCTTATATTTTAAAAGTATGTAGGCCTAGTAAACTGTGTATTTGGGTTCAATCCTGACACAGTCTACCGATTTGTGCGCTGCTTAGAACTCATTTTAACAATACCCACCTATAACTATCAATGTTATACTTCCATATCTTAAGTTTTCTCGATATGATAGAATGAGTCATTGCTCTTCCATCACGTATCATCAAAACAAACTTTGCGTTTGGAAACAAGTTATGGAGATATCTGAAATTGTTAAAAAATGTTATATTCGCACATATGTCAATTCTATAACTAAACCATTAATTGAAATTGCATTACCAATCACAACAGGTGCATTTTAGTTGATTCAAAAACACGTAAAATTTTCTGTTTAATCAGCGGCTTTTGAATTCGTTACGAAGACGTGAAGGTCATAGTTACCAACTTTTAATTCGAATTTTGTCGTTCAAGTCAACAAACCAATTTAAATCAAACGAATTAACCTCATTTCTTAGTCACAACATTTAAGAAAAACATTCCTTAAATGCGTGACAAACAAAACTTTCAACTGATGTGATATATATCACGAAGATATATTCATTTGATAACCGGATACTCAGGGATCTTGATTGTTGCATCGAAACAAAATCAAATCTCAATGCTTTGTGTTTGCTGTTATGAGATTATACACAATTCTATTGTGTTAGGCAAGGCTTAGCTATTTTGGAAACACAGCGATTCAAGGGTGTAGATACGAAACATATGTAATTTAGAAGACAAAATATTATGTGTTTGCGATTATTATTTTTGTCTAGATCAAGAGCTTATCATTTATCAGACACTCCACGAATGATATCTATTATGTGAAGACATACTAACGGGTACAGATACTCGCTTAAAATCATCTTACTTTGAATACTTCATTTGAAAAGGATCCTTGTTACAGTAGCGAATAGCCGGTGGCCCATGACGAATTATTACTTCCAGAATAAATTGTGCAACAGCATTGTCAGTTATTTCAGGATACACGTCAATGTTGGAAAGATATGAGGCAATTAATGGATCACTGAATGGCAACAAATATATATTTCACATTTAAAAATGCTTCATTGTTTTTTACAACTATCTACAAATTCTACATTCTGCACACTTGATGCAGCATTTCTTTTGAGGGGAAACATAAATTTTTGCTTTGCTTATCGCAGGGGTTCCCAAACTTATTTGTCCGCGGGCCGAAATTTCAAGGCGAGGATACTCGCGGGCCAGTAAAGCGAGATGACGAAAAAAGCCCGACGTAAAGGCTGGGGTCAGGCCGCGCTTAAGCGCCCTGAGAAAATTTCGAAAAATAGGCACCAAAATAGGCTGCAAGATATACGCAATCCTAATAACGGTACGTAAGTTAAGATACCGGTATAATTGAATTGTTACGATATACACGTGCTTAAATTGTGATAATGACGTAACAATTGGCGGCATCTACGACATAAAAGGATGAACACATTTAAATTGTTAAACGTGTTAGTATTTATTCACGGTTATAGTTTCACTAATGTTCGGCGGGCCATTTGAAATCGTCTCGCGGGCCGTAATTGGCCCGCGGGCCGCGGTTTGGGAACCCCTGGCTTATCGGATACATATAAATTCTTATTTTCGTTATTGTTCATAAAACTTCATAATACTAATGTCATAATACTGATGATATTCATTAATTTTTGCAGAATTTTTGGATATATAGTAATATCCATAAACATTTACTTTGAAATTTCCTCTCTCAAAAACAACACATCAGTTATGACTGCAATTTCAGGGCCGCATCGTATATCATCATGGGCATCAAGCATTGTTCTCATCAGCGTTGTGCCACTACGATGCATTCCTCCAATAAATATTAATTCCATATTTCTTCGATCATGAAACTGAAATAAACGAGAAGTAAAATCAGTACAAGTTTGTTGCTTATGATCGTCTATTAACTATTTAATGTAATTGAAATCATTTCCCAAAAGTGTGGATAGTGATGTATTCATTATTTACCTTATCGTAAGCTTGCAATCAATACGATATCTGAAACAGCGATCAATTGTATTTAGTGTGAGTTTTGTATTATTATTAATAAAATGACGACGAGATTTCAAAATGTTGAATGTATATAATTTTAACGATGATATATAGATATATGACTAAGTTCTATTTATCGATTGTTTATATCATGTGAGACGAAACTTCAGTTAAGTAATTGCAATTGTGGCCACATTTACTGAAAAATGCCGTCTTTTATTGATGAAATGCGACTGACTAACAAAAAAACAAATTGAATTAATATATCTTAAGAGAACCCAAAGTTATGCTTCAGCACACTTGCATACACCAGCACTTACATCAAACTTCATTTCGTCGTGTTCAGAATTGTATTCCAATATTGGCAACAAAAATAACGGAAACACGAACGAACAAATACAAGTTAGTAATAAACGTCCAGCAGGTGAAGTACGCATTACGCTCTGTTACACGGTCTGATAAAATAAGCACATTAAGTCACTAGAACATTTTAATTCTTAAGTCAAGTTTGCTGAGGAAAGGGGTGGTTTGGGCACTGCTGATGATACAAGACTAATCATGTTCTATGCTTAACCACAAGAAGTCCTAAAAACTCAACCCCGAAGAAAAATAAAGAGAAAATCTCATGGCCTAATTCTTGACCATTTTAATATTTATTAACGACTTTCCAAATGCTCTTATTTCGGCTCGGCCATGTGGCAAATTGTGATAAGCGTTAGGAATACGCTCGCCACCGCACCCCTGATTACCCTGCGTGGTTTCGCAGGTTCTAATCCCATTGGGAAATAATTATGTGTGAGAGGATTGCTGGTCACGTAACCGCCTGTCGCGCGGTTACAGCTTCCCCCACCATCAAGTTTATGCATTCGAAAACAAATAACTGGTTAACTAATCCCATACCCGACATCGACTGATAGCCAGACGAGAGGCCGTGGCTCGCCATATGATTAAGCCGTCTTATCGGTTTTCCTCCCCCCTGGGATGCGTGAGTCCTGTCCTATTTCTAATTTACGAGTTAACACTCTACTCCTGTCCTAATATGACGTTTTAATGAAAAAAGCGTTTGGGATTTGTTCCTAGATTTCGATCGAGGGATCAGTGGTAAGTCTCTCTGTAATTCAAAAACAAACAAATCATCAGTCGTCGATCAGTCGTTATGTTAACCTTGATACAGTCTCAGTTTCAATGTCGGATAAAATCCTGGAAAAATCAATCAACTTTGATCTATTCCTTGGTATTTGGAATGAATATAATGGAATGATAATCCAACATAATTCGTTTGGGATTGTTGTTTGACTACCGATTTGTTCGAGTACCGAAACTTTTTTGCCATAAGAAACAATAGTAATTATTTTAATACGTTCTTACGTATCCGAAATATTATCAAAACGTGAACAACAATAATTGTAAATGTAATAAAGCTGCAACATTTCCACTTCGTCCATTATTTATTTAAGGCGCTTGCTTACTAATTGCTGTCACTCCCCGCGCAACATTAGTTTTCTTCATTATTTCCTTATTTTTCAAAAACGTGGAAATCGTAGACTTCGCCATGTCACACTGTTATACGATATGAGACACTCGAAAACCATTCTCATATTTTGCAATAATTTCTTTTTCCAACTCGATAGATGATAGTTATTGTCACTGTTTTTCTCTTCTCTTTCCGTTTGTCTCGTATTTCCTTTGTGGACATGACTAACGGCAAATAGCAAGAAAAAGCATTAAATAACAAAAATCCCGATAACGTTTTGACTTGAACTGATGCTTGCTGAATAGTCGAAAGGCAGCCGAGATGCGTGGTTCAGGTAAGTTCTGGTGGCGTCATCTCACTCAGCCGCGCGCTCGGATGTTAGAGATCCAAATTTCCGAGTACCGCAGCAATTTTGACTCGAATTTTTTGGTCGACTACCGATTTGTCTGATACACTGATACGTATTAGGACTGACGCTTTTATGGCTGAACTAAACCTCCCAACTAGAAGAATATCAAATATACATGGCCAAAAAAAGGGTCCAAACTACAAACCTATTTCCTTTGTCGAAACCTTGTCCCTCTCTATTTATTTCCTGATATTCTAACGGACTTGTTCTTTCAAGTTTTTTTTTCGAGAATTTTAATCCTGTCAAAATCAATAGCTCATATTTGTTTGTCTGATCTTATTGAAATGAATTGACATGCCCGCTAATTATATTTACATTCTTTCATTTACGCCGTTAGGGTTAATATTGTATTGAGTACCATTTAATGAGTTGATGAATTGGACATCAAGTGGATTCATATCCTAATCACAATATAACAATTGTATATTAACCTTTGACGTCGCGCTAACCATCGTTAAACCCTTCACAAAGTTTTACATCTACACCGTTGTCGAAAGTGTAAAACAAAACGAATGTAAGAAGGAAATCATCTCACTATACTGAGCTATGAATAGGATCTAAAATGAAGCTCTCATGAGCTTTCTTCGTTCACCCCAAGTGAGTACGTCGTCTGCCACACAATATGGGTGACTTAAATGACGTGTGCAGAATGAGAGGTTATTTCTATGGTGATTGCATATCGAAGTCTCTTTGCAATTTTAGTAATATTTAAATTTGATAATTAACTATTTTGACTTATGCTTTTTTAGCCCGTCGGAACTCTTCTGAGTGTATTGAGGTAGAATGTTTCATTAGATATATTTGTCGGTACATGATTATATAAGTTGAAAAATTATATAAAAATATATGATAACTAAACACAATTACATGTGTATCCGAGAAGAACATGCTCACGAACAGACTCGCAATTATTTAGAATAAATGCGATCGTGAGAGTGGGTTCTTCAGACATGTGATCGTGAATTCCAACGTGACTACGATCTATCAATAAATTTCCAATAAAACTAGACTCTAAACTCACTGAATTGGTGTAACATAGCCCTAACTAAGCATAGGTGGTATTCTTATATAATTACTATAGCGTGAAGAGGTACTTGTGTCGTTCGGGTCTCCCTGTTTTAAAACAAGGGCTTGTTTTAAATCAAATTTCTTTTGTATCTTTTGTATTTCCATTTTAACACTCCTTGGATCGTGGTGAAAATACGGCAAAATTCTGCGCTTTGGCAGCTACACAAACTGCCGAAATAACATTCATCGACGATCCACGACCCATCGCCAATTATTTCTCAATCACCGTAAGATTAATATATATATATATATATATATATATATCAATAACTTGCTTCATACAAAGTTCACCTCTTTTAAATGAAAAAAAAATGAATAAAAAGTAGCTATTTTCAAGTTTATGATGAACATAACTAGATTGATTAATAACCAAACAGAAGTTAGACGGGTTCACATGAGAGTCTTGTATTCACAGACTGTTAGGAAAAGCACTGCTACCAGCAGTGATAAAATGTCCCAAGCTCGGGAGGCAAATACTCATGAAATTAATCGAACCAATGACGCGAATACGACAGAATACAACATGGGTTCCTAAAATCGATACCGGTGGGGCATGTAGCTTTACGGACTAGTTGAAAATAGGTGTACATGAATGAATATGAAATCGGGGCATGTTAGAGAAGAGACATAATAGCCGATTTGTTTAAAATTAGCGTCACTCCGTCCTGGACGACCTTATCAGTTCGCTGAGTAATATCGTAAATCAATTTATGTAAAACAATGGACAGTGTTTTCATCGCTTATCTGACTGGTATCTGAAGTCTGGGCAATGGATGACTTGAGCCATCTCATATATGTTCAAAGTTGCAATTTTAAATTTGGGTATTTTGCCCCCTCTGACTTTCCAATTTATAGTTAGTTATTTTTCTTCCAACAAGTCTTCTGCGACCTAAACTGTTGCGACACAACGGTGTAACTTTTTTAAGAGTTTTTAGTGAAATGTGTCAACCAAGAATAGAATTTGTTCGGATAATCATGCGCAATCAATTGTTTTCTTGTTTCAATTTCTGTTGTTGGGCTATTTAGTTGTATTAAGATTTGATCCAAGAAAAATATAGACTATTGAACAATAACATTGTTTACACCATAAAGGTTTAGCTCCTGATGGTTCACGGTCGGCTGAACCAGCCAAGTTCTCTCCGGATGACAAGTTTTCGAAACAAAGAATCGCCTGCATAAAATTTTTCGGAATATTATTAACTCGGCAACCGAAGCCCGCGATGTGAAAGAACGTGTTTAATAAGAAATATAATCTAAAATCTGAACGAACTTTCAATTGCATAATTATAGTAAAGCTTACAGTATAAGCTTGAAATAAATTTGTTTTGTCAAATTACAGAACAATTTACTATACGATATCTTATAATCTATCAAATAATTACTCTGAAATTGAAGAGCAAGTTTATGGTAATATTCAGTGTTTTATCACATTTCAATGATGTATGTCTTTGCCTAAAATAACTGAATAAAAGCCTATTTAAATTCATCGAATGATCATAGTCTAGTACTTTAGTATTTTGGGTCTCTGATAACAGTGGACGAATGTGAGTGAGGGACATACTAATAAAGCGAACAGTGTTTTACTATTATTGTATGACATTGATCTCTTTTGTCTAAATCACATTAAAATGACGGTACTTCTGAAGTATGCGCACCAAGATGTCGCACAACCTGAACCCCAACCTGGTACACAATCTGGGTTTAGGTTGTGCGCCATCTTGGTGCGCATACTTCAGGAGGTCCCAAATGACTCGTGAGATTTCTTAAAAACACTTTATCACCTTTTCAGCAAGGCTCGACCAGTTTGATTTTTCATGGCTTTTGACTATCTTCACCACTTTATCACAATGTATTCCACACGTTATCTTTGTATTAGATTGGACTGGTATTATCAGCATCATCAGAAGTACAACAGCCAAAAGTTCAATGCATTCTCGTATTGTCTGTGTGTTTATTTCTGGCCCAAGCCTTGTTCGTTTAGCTGGGAATGAATTTTTTTTGTGTGTGTGCTCACTCACTGTGCTGATGAGCGGGGCACATGATATTTCCCATGTTTTAAAAAATTCTAAACGTTTGCTCTCTCTTCAGAATTCTTTCTATCTATGATCACATAACCAGTGGAGTACCCATGCGGTTGGTGTTTTGGATGATGCATGTCACTTGAAACATCAAAAATTCATACTCCGTTAATTGAATACGGTTGCATTTTGTAAATCCTTTCACTAAATTGGCTTTCGTCTTATAAAAGTTGTTGGCCACTGGTTGATTCTGTTCAAAGCTTTGGGATCGACGAAAGCTTGCAGAATAAGGTTAAGAACCCCTAGCGTAGACAGAAGTTACTTCTCACTTCATTTCCAAATTAACCCACTAATTCGGACTTGAAGCTGTTCTTTGTCGTACGATTAAGCCGTGGATCATCTTTCTTATGATCCACGCGTGAAAAACTTGTAATTTCCCCCGCATGGCTGAATTGTTCACATAGCATATTAGAGTCAAAATTGCAGTTTTTTAAATTTGCGAAAACAAAATTTAAAAAATACAGCGAATTAATGCGGGAGCAAAAATGCGGAAGTTTTTGGCATATAAATTTGGGGAATGCAAGCAGCTTCCTCTGCTACTCCTTTATTTCGGTATGAAGCAACTTAGTGATCGTGTTCAGACAATCTACATTTTCAAAGACGTTTGTTCTTGCCAAACTCCAATCTTACAAAAATCATTTTCCTTAAAACAATATTTTTTAAAAGTCCAGTCTCGCGATCCTCGTTCCTCCGGGGTCCAAACTAGTCAATGCCCAAAATGATATGGAAAGAAATTGTTTATTTTTTCCTTGCTCTAGTATTTTCTTTAGCTCTTTCCGATCCATTTGCGCTATTTCGTCACTTTTCATTCAATTTATCAAAATCAACGACGCATTATTCAGCCAGATCCCATCTGAAAGTAAAAAAGATGACAAAGGTCTCAGCTAGATGTATGAAATTGGATGGGTTGTTTTGGACCAATGAACGATTGCAGTTCTTCCAAACCCAATACGTATAGAAGCTTCACAGCTTTCGAAAACAAATATCTGGCTAACTAATACCATACCCAATATGTACTGGTAACCATACAAGAGGCCGTGGTTCGCCATATGATTAAGCCTGGCTTATCGGCTTTCCTCTCCCCCGGGATAAATATGTAAATCCTATCCTATTTGTTGGAGCCAAACAATGTAAAAAATTATGAAAAAAGTTACATGGTTCTCACTTTGTTATGTGTGAGTAAAACATAATATTGTAGGAGTGACCTAATTGTGGATTACACGTATAGATAGATGTATACTTTTCGAAATTTATCTAACCTTATAATGATTTATTGAATATGTCAAAAACGACAGTGGTCCAGTGTGATTTGCGTGGGTACCGAGGGTGACGTAGAAAGGCGATTACTTCTTGATAATCATAACATGAAGTAAAGATGGTAGATACAATCATAGAGTTGAGGTACCTTTAACCTATAGGGAAGCGACGCCTGGTTATGGCATTGTGCTATTGCATGTTATATAACTGATTCATGCACACATAATTCCTTATGATTGAAGTAATGTTGATTAAAAGTTCAGTTTTGCGTGCGTAGACATATATATATATATATATTGTTAGTATGGTGGGACGTGATAAAATGATTCGGTGTGCAGCTGAGCCATGTAGGTGAAAGACGTAACATTACTACTTATATATATGTAGAGTGGGTGTCAAGAAATATTAATAATGTAATAATAATGTTGTTGACGGTGCTGGGATTATTTAAATTGTCATGCATTTTCGATATATATATATATTAGTATTCTGTGTCGACCCCTGTGCCAGTGTGCTCTTGTGAAAAAAAAGTTCAATTGTTTTTGCTTCTTGCCAAGTATCTTGCTCGTAATTTACCATATGACAGTCTCATGGATGCTACCACAAATTATAAAGTGAAAAACAAGTTAGTCTTAGTATGATAGCTCGTCTAAAGTAATGTGGAAATATATTGTGATAACTACAAATATAAACAGAGAACACATACGTTGAGCCGATTATTTAAGATCAACATAAAAACTAAGGAATTTCTATATATATATATATATAACAAATGGAAAGTGAAGCGCATTTATGAAGTTTGCTCTACTGTTTTAAATTCATTTTTTTATTGTTATGGCTTTTGATAAATGAATTTAACCCATTACAGTTATCTTGTTGAAAACACAATCAGAAAGGAAGTTAAAATTTAGGTTGTAATATTTGAGTTTACCATAAATGTGAAAAAGTGTCGCCCAGCTAATAAAAATGCACCATACGTTGATTTCGGCGATATTTGCCTTGATCATTAGTACAAGTGCTTCCGCTCAAGGTAAGTTGATTATTGTAACTAAAACATTGGTTTATACCTCGTTCATACAATTTATTTAAGAATAAGATTTAAATAGTTCGAAAAATTATAATTTTGTTTTGTTAGCACTATCATAAAAAAGAATTGAGATGGAATTCCACAAAGCGTATGTTTTAAAAAATATGTTTTCATTGTGACAATTTTGTTTTGAAAGCAGGGACACAATATATTTGATCAATGTTAAAAGTTTATACGATCATTACCCTCAACCTGTTTAAAAATTGAATGCTAATAAACAAAACAACTTCGTCAATATCACAATTTCTTTGTTCTATATTAAAACTAATTTTAGTTACAGATACCTTTGTTTCACAGATCCCTGGAAGACACAATGTGTTGATGAGTTTGAACTGCTTTTCTTCAAGCAACGTAAACCTTACCATCGAGCTAAATCTTCTTGTGAAGGATTGGGAGGTTACTTGGCTAAAGTCGATAATGAAAGAATAACATACGTTCTTAATGCAACAATCCCCTTGAGGTAATAAGAAAATTATTTTTGTTATCACAGGGTTATTTATTGTGCTAGTTATTCAAGACTATTCAATTGTACTATAAGAGAGATTCGAGCATTTCATTGGTGTCTTGAAGAGCTTAAGATGAAGCACACTAGGCTACGACTTGGTTATTGACCTACAAGAGATTTTGGAGGCACAACTTAGAAGCATGTTGTAATTTGTAATACTTTAAATTATGCACTTTTATATATATATATATATCAATACACTGAAAAGAAGATCGCTCGTTAACAAAAATTCGATGCTTAAATTTTTTTTTGAGAACTACTTTCTGAATCTTGTATGACCTGTTATATTTCTATAAGATGGTGATAGATTTTGTTTTTATAAAACTGAGAATATTTATAAATTCTTAGAGCAAACTCCTCAGAAAACACCTTTTATATCGGTGGAAACGACATAGATAGAGAAGGAGATTGGAAATGGCAGGATAGTACTAATGTAATAATGAGAGGAGAAACGGGATATCAAAACTGGTTTGTTTCTCAGCTTTATTTATGAAATTTCAAAAAAAATAAAATATTTGCAACGAGACTTGAATATGGTTCTTGTTTGTTGTAGCTAAATTCGTTTTTCTCATTCGGATTCTCTAGTTAAATGCCATCCAACTTTTTCAGGTTGTAGTTACAAGTAATTGGATAAACTACCCCAAGCTAAAACTTACTTCAATCTTTCCATAATCAATGTCTCAATGATACGACCGTTTGGAAAATAATTCAGTACAGCTATAACTACGCAACACGTTGGTTCATTGAGAATCACCTAATTTTTAGGTTTAATAACTGCGTTATCTGAATTTATTAGGAAATGGAATCAGCCAAACGGTGGGACGCCAAGCAATAGCGTTGATGAAAATTGTTTGTCAGTTGGAAGAGAAACGTATGAGTGGGTTGATGTATCTTGTGGTGGAAACTTCTACTACATTTGCCAGAAAGGTAATATTGATTTTTCATACTCGTTTCTACTCAATTAGACGGGGATACTCATTAAATCGCCAGGGAGTGATACCGAAATTAGATACCTCGTTCTCTTTTTCTACGATTTATCAAGATATGAAAATGTGATAAATTCATGTAATAAGATTAAAATAGCCTCGTTTTGCAGACTTGTTCAATTAAAGGTTAAGAGAACGTTCAGTTGCAAAATACTTATTCATTTCATTTATTTAGAATTTGTGACAAAGTATAGAAAAACAAACAAGTGCGACTCATCAATGTTGAAGTTAAATGATAGGTCGGTCTTCGCGCTAGTAGTTGTTACTTCATGGCAGAATGTATCCAAAAGAAATGAGACGGCACTTGGTTGCTTGTAGAATATAAATGAATTGGCAACTATGTAGAAATATACTTATTATTTATATCAAGGCAGGTTGTTAACTTGAAAGTATTCACCTTAACCACTTGATCACATTAATGCATTATCTACATTATTAGTTGTTGGTGTCACTGAATTCTTGCATGAGATGAAAATTTCCAATTACTACGTCGTCAATCATTTAATTTGCACCGGTCTTATTTATGAATAAATTCTTTTCATCAATTTTGTTTGTTATAGAATTATACTTAAGTTGCTTCCAATGTACAGCGTTTCGGCTAACACGAAGCAATGTAACGAACCAAGTTTTTCATAAACTATTCTGTGTCATTTATATATATCTTCAAATTTCGCTTATTGTGCATCAGAATTTCAGGGCCCTTTTGTTGGAATACTGAGCCTCAACGAAAACCAAAGAATGTGTACTTCAATAAACTGTAGCAAAGCAACACAAGTCGAATGGCACAAAGTATCTGACAAAGTAGCAACCGAAGCTACAAGCAGAGTTTATCAAACGATACAAACTGGATCAGCAACATTGAATCTTCAAAACGCAAATATAGCAGATGATGGGTCTTATAGTTGTCGTTTTCGAATTGGTAAAGCTTGGAGTTCTACAACGGTATCCTATGAAGGTAAATATAAATATTTATTTTTACTTATGTTTGTAATCTTTGCCTATTAATCTTGTGTTATTTATTTTCCAGTGGCTGGAAGTCCCACAATCCATCAAATATCGAATAACACATGCAACTCTAACTTGATCATCTCATGGCAACCACATAAAAATGCTGTTGGATTTCCACACAAGTGAGTTGACTATTATATATATGCATGTTTAGGCATTAACTACAGGATTTTGTTTATGTACCAACTTTTGCTCCAAATAAAGAACTGGACATGCTATTAAAATCTTTGGTCATTTTATAATAATATTGTAGTGAACGAGCTGTTAATTTCTAGTTGTCAAAATGATTACACTCGGTAAGATGATGGGTATTAGGGTTGAACCCCGAATCTTTATCTTGTAACGTCAACAGGGCAATCCTATCATGCTATTACTACCCGACACCGTCGTGCATGATGATAAACAGGGTATAAACAATTTATTCAATGTCCACTGCGACGCCACACCTTTCTGATGCGATTTCAATCATGAGATGGACAATGGTCATTAATAATAAATATATAATGATTAATGTTGTGCAACCGTTTATTCTATTATTATCGGTGTAAATTCACTTCTGTTTTACAGAATAGAAGTAAGTCCGACCTCAGGGGAATCAACAAGATGGGTGGATTCACCAACATCTGAGAAGCAGTCGACCTCAATAACTAGTTTGTCGCCTACCACGACCTATCAAATTAAAGTACGCAATATTATTTGTGGCAGAAGATTTCTTTTTTTTCGTGACGTTTGAACCTACCTGGTTATTTTTCCCAACTTGAACTTTGCGTACTTATAATGTTCTCGAAAATTCTTTTCTATCAGATAACTGCATGTGTAATAAAAGATTCTTGTCCAACCAAATATTCTACCACACGGAACGCAACAACGGGGGAAGCAACTTTATCTGTTGAATCGTCGTCTATTGCGCTATACAGGGATACGGATACTTGCGTCATTTCTTGGACATTATCCAACAAAACAGACAATTCATATACCGTGGTAAGTCAATATGTGCAGAATCGATTGTCACTCACGATCGTAGATTTATCACTGTCTACCGCTTCATATTCGACTCAACTCGAAGTCTTGGTTCTTCGCGCTTACTTATCTGTCACCAAAGGACATTGTTGGTGAGAAGTTTAGCAATCGATGACACAACATGAGTGTTTCTAATGCAAAGTTTTACCTAATGATCCATAGGGACTGAATCTAACTTCAACCGTGGTGTCTTCGCGAAATTCAAACTTGAAGACAAATACGAAACTCATAGATGTGACGTCATCATCCCTGTATTTGTTCAAACCTGAACCAAATTGCAACTATTCCGCTTCGATCAAAATATTCAATTGCGTTTGGACTGTGAAGGGTTCTTGTGTGGGAAATCCAACAGGTAATAATTGAATTCAATAATTATTGTTTTCTAATGTTACAATTGCTTTACTGAATTGAAAATGATCATTGATAATTTAATCGCTTATATAGAATTCATAAAGAGTGGTTGGCGCATTGTCTTAATGAAATTGTTTCAATTCTTGCTTTTGCAAAGTTTATTTTTAGCGTGAAAGTTTGAAAATATCACACAAATCGCAGATATTATAAGTTTCCGATATGTTTTATTTGTTATCAATTAGCTGATATCAAAAAACTATGTGATGTGACCTATATTTATATATGATTTCGTCAGAAACCTAAATCAGTATTACGATTCAGGAAATAATTCAATGGAACAGATAATTAGATACCAACTGCTGTTCTGAGAACTATACAATTTTTCAAACGAAATCATGTGACAGTGACTTATGACTTTAGACACGAGTTGACTTGCGACATTAAACAGGTCATTTCCTTCAAAAAATGAGGAAATTTGGGAAACACTTGATGAAACATTGCATAATGTAATGATTAGGAATAATGTCATTCAAATATTCATTTTACAATGGTGATTTTGTCCTTTCCTCAAGCATCGTGTTGTGTTTGTTGCTAGTTTAAAACTTTCAATAATATTTAGAAAATCTGTAGTATTTAAGTTTTTGTTAAATTAACATAATATTTAGAAAAGAAATCGTTTGACTTCAACTTCGACAGTTTCGTGATTGGGTTTCTTATTCCTTTGATTTTCCTTCTTGTCTCTGCCTGGATGATATTTAGACTGAAGAAGAAGTTGAAGAAAAACTCAGACGTAGAAGAACACAATTACGAAACTATACACGAAAAAGGTAGTGAGAATTGCTGCAGAAAATCACGATGATATTAAAAATATTTTAATTTACATTGTTTTGTAATTTGTACTTGAAGTTGAAGTAATCTAAAAAATCCGGAATTTGGGAAATGTCTGGAAAAGAAACTTGCTGTGTACCACCAGCTCACCGAAATTAGATTTGCCATCCACACCAATACTTTATATCTAATCGTTAATTTTGCTATTGATGCCATTTAAACATTTTTTCAACAATTATATAGCCACCTCTTCCATCGAAGAAGCATCTCAACCATCATATCCAAATGTGCTGAAAGAATCTGCCAGATACGAACAAGTTTTCCCTACGACAACTATTCAAACACAAATGAGCTCAGCTTACGAAACTTACAACGTCTAATGAACTTCAGCTATGCAGTATCTATCGGTATATTACAAAATGTAAAAAAATGCTATCTCATGAAACACTCAGCAAACTCATAACAGACAATGTCTTAGCTGCTAGAGTATAGTCAATCATGTTGGTGTCAATCGGCATCTCCATGTTACAGAGGGGTCGACGCAATTATCAATCTATAGTATATCCACTTTCTCATCATGAGTGTGGTGATCTATGTCTGTCATGTCGTAAATATATATTTCCATGCATTCTTATAAACGACTTGTCAGTTCTGGTATAAGTCTGTGCATTCTATTATATTGCAACAATAAGAATCAAAACGTTTCTGTTGAGACGTTTGCTCATTTTCTATTGCTCGTGTTAACCAGGCTTAACAACTAATATGGGTTTAAACTTTAAATGTATTCCCGTGTCCAATAGTGAAAACACTTTTTCTCTATTTTAACCTAATGTTGTTGTGTTCTCGATGACGGAGCAATCTTTCCTTTTCAACTTTTGGTATGATTATATTTATCTTGAAAACGTTTTTCCATTTTGTGTTTTTTCTTGCAACAAATACACTATTTTATTTTAGATATTTTCATTATTTCTATTATACGTTCATAAATATAATCCTTCCGTTTCAATTAGGGAAACGTTGTCGATGAAAAATGTTTCGCATTTATTTGTATATTTGCATATTTTGGTGACGTGAGACTATTTTTTCAACAGAGTGACATACAAGGAATATTTCAATTCCTTTTACCCACAATTTATCCACTTTTTTACTCTTCTGTTCCCGTTTCGCCCGTATTATTATTCTTGGTCCGTATTTTGATTCCATTTAATGATTGTCGAGATGCGCGGCGGTTTATTTAGATATTGAGCTATTTCTATTGCAATATAAAATTGTTTCATCGAGGCGGCAATTGATGAACGATTTCAGTTTTTACAAACTCAATGCGCAGTGATTCGTCAGATTAAAAGTATTTAGTTACTAAGTTACTAAAAAATACAAGTAGAAGTAAAAAAATTCTCGATTTCACGATTACTCAGTAAAGTTCATTTAGGCGCATTGGAAAATTCAACGTCTACAACCTTTTTCTTACAGTTCAATGTATTAGCGTACTTTTTGCTTATAGGATCATAGGTTTCGAATTCTTGAGCACGCTAATTAAATGAAAAACTTTATGTGCCATTTTTACATTACCGGTATTTTAGTTTAGCCGTTAGCTAGAAATAATGACATGGGGTTTCGCTATCTATTAATTTGGCAATATTACAAACTAGTTACCGGTAATTGTCTACTGATCGTTGTCAATCCTGGTTTGAATTTGATCTCACGTATCCTGATTTGTTCCGTGAGGTGCGAGTTGTATGGGATACAGACGATGACGAGGTAATATATGAAATTGAATTGACTTATTTTATCTTTGCACCAAGATTTGTGATTGTGGTTTACAAAAAATGTTGATAAAAATAACAATAGGAGTAAAAGTATTTTTAAAATGCCACTATCGGTAGTAAATTTAATTTGGTGTCCATTGTATTAAAGTATTCTTGCGGAAAATCGTTCTATTCTTTTCGTTTCCTTTTGAATCAAACAATGAACTTTATAGGATGTCGCTACAAATTGTTTATAAGACAAGAGGACGATGCTCAAATAGATGGACACAAAGCCAAAACAAAGTAGAACGGGGGTGCTATCTATCCCAGTAGACTAAGCCTGACCAGATCGCAAACGCGCAATTTTTAAGTTTCATGAAGTACGTATAAATGATACGTAATTTTGACGTCACAACGACCGCTCACATTCAACGTGAACTGTTGAGTATTCATTTGTGAGCACGGGAGGTGGAAATTGGTGGTTTTGACGGGCCATTTGGGGACGACAATTTGGGCACCAATTGATTTTTTATCATCACTAATTAAATATGTCTAATAAGTACAATTACAATACTGAATATCAATTGTAAATGTAATTAATATAACATTATGAGTTCATTAAATCTTCAAAGTATGGCGTCAATAAATAAACCATTCCGGTTCTTACAACTCCAATACGCCTACGTGACTGATGGCACAAATATTTGTTAGAGAGAAGTCTGTTGTTGCTCATAATAAATTACAAGTAGAAGTAAAAATTTTCTTGATAGGTAACGTTTCCTCAGAAGAGTTTACTAAGGTTCTGAGTAAAGTTTGACCTTTGCAAACTTTTTCTAATAGTTCAACGTATTAGCTTACCTTTTGCTTTAAAGTCATATGTTTCAGTACATCAAGATTCTTTTGTGTCGTTTTTCAATATTCCAGTCGAGCATTCATCAAGAAGTAATGAAGTGGTGTTCTCTTATCAGTTAATTTTACAATTCAAACTTTAGGGGAAAATTGACCCTATCTGCATGTTCGCTCACTTGTTATTTGGTTGATACACGTTTAATATAGTGTAACTCCGATCTGAACTCCTCAGAAGTCAATGAGCACACAATGTATTGCAATGACAAATGTTCGTATATATATTGTGAAGATACACAATCCAAATAACAGATAACAAAAAACTCTGGAAACCTTATTCATGATGAAACCAAATTTTCAACCAACTAACAAAGAACGGTAAAAACGAGCAATACCTGGGCAAGAAAAAAATATCATGAAGGAAATAAATTAGAGCAACTATTAACAATACGTGGTGAAAAATATTTAAAGTAGTACTGGAAATATTTTTAGAATGTGACTACTGTTATTTATACGTAGGTCCCCTGTAATAAAATATTTCATTAAGAAAAAATTACAAGTAGAAGTAAAACCTTTATTGATAGGTAACGCTTCCTCAGTAGAGTTTAGTTTAACCTTTGCAAACTTTCCCCGATAGTTCAATGTATCAGCGTATTTTTTTTTCTTAGAACGCCATATGTTTCCGATTTTAAGAGCACACTTATTGAATCAACGATTTGCAGAGCACACTTATTGAATCAACGCTTTTACGCGTCGTTTTTACATTAATCAAGCAATATTGCCAACTATTTACTTGACTACTAATCATCGTTGTCGAATCAAGTACCAACAAATAGGTTCTGAATTTGATTTCACGTCTCCTGATTTGTATTGTGATTATCATAACGAAGATGTGCTTGGTTCATTGTAGTAGTATGGAATACAGAGAATGACTGAGAGATCAGTTGACTAGGATTGACTTCTTCTATTTCTGCGATAACATTCGAAATAAAGACCACGACTACGAAGCAGTAGTGTCAAATATATCATTGATGCTTAATTATCAGATATCATATAAACACAGTAGGTCGAACACTACCATTCAAATTGGTGATGCAAGTGAATAATCCAAGGAACGGTGGAAAGAGAAAGAATCGATGGATTCTGAAATTTCTTTGTAGCATATAATTAAATCTGGGCTACAGGGTAATTCATCAGGGATATCAGGTCGTAATACTTGGATTGGTTTTTAATTCTATTTATATTTTTCTAAATAGTTGAAAAATAGCTTTGTAAATTTCAGTGTTGCAAACTAAAACTTGAAAATCTTAATTGAAAAAAGTTAAAATTTGCGTCGTCCTGGAATCTTTTTTAGCCCATAGATACGAAAAAATCTGTCGTTCAGATATTAAGTATGAAGTATATGCTATTGGTGATATTTGTGTTGGTAATCATCACAGGTACTTCAGCTCAAGGTAAGTTGATTATTGTGACCATTTGTTCTTATTTTATTCAAACAATTCGTTTACAGAATAACGTTTATATATTTCAAAAAATACATTTTTTATTGTGTTCAAGTCAAAAATATCACGAGGTGAAAATTTGTTGGCATAGAATTCCAAGAAAAGCATGTTCTGAGTACTAAGTTTTTGTCGAAAAAATTGCTTTTGAAAACAAGAACATCATATATTTGATAAAAAATCAAGATTAATGTGGTCTTTATACTCTTAACCTGTTTATAAAAATTATTCGCTAATATTTAAAATAGTTTCGTTATCGTAATAACTTTATTGTTCGAAATTAAAAACTCATGTCAATGACAGATATCTTTGCTTTTCAGAGCCTTGGACTAAAGAATGTGTTGATGGGTTCGAACTGCTTTTCTTCAAACAACGTAAACGGTTTAACGACGCAAAATCTTCCTGTGAAAGATTGGGAGGTTACTTGGCTAAAGTTGATAATGAAAACATAACGGCAGTCATTAATTCAGCATTCCCGTGAGTTAATATTAAAGTTATTTTTGTTATCACGGGGTTATTTATTAGTACTTTCCGCTCTTGTGTCCGCCTTATGCCTCTTCCAGCATACAATGAGCCAAAACCTACCCATTACCTGGAAGAATGATTATCGCTCATCAACAAATATGTTAAACTGAATACTTTCCTCAGAAACTCCTTTTCCAACCATGTGTCTTGTATAAACTGGTAAATCTTGTATAAACTGCTACCTTCCGACATCTCAATTGAAAGAATAAATTTATATATACAAGACTCAGCGAGTCAGGGTTCACTTTCAATTCTTCTATCATGCAGAGTTCTCTCAAGTTTTATGGAAGAGCAACATACCTTGCTTTTATAAAAACTAATAATAATCTTTATATATTCCCAGCATAAAGTTTAAAGAAAACACCTTTTTTATTGGTGGAAACGACATAGCTACAGAGGGGGATTGGAAATGGCAGGATGGTACTGATGTAATAATGAGAGGAGAAACGGGATATCAAAACTGGTTTGTTTCCTAATTTTACTTGTGAAAAGTGCAAACACATAGACAATATATATATTTGGACACGAGTAGCGTGTATCATTACTTCTTACTCCCACGACGTGAAATTGTCAGGATTTCCAAAATGACAGGAGAGGTAATCAACCCAACGGCGGGTCCATCAACCTTAATGATGAAGACTGTTTATCAGTTGGCAGAGAGTGGTACCAATGGGTTGATGTTGAGTGCTCTGAAAACTTTTACTACATTTGCCAGAAAGGTAACATTGAATTTTTTCTGTTCGTTTATGGTTACATGAACTAACCAACCAAGCTTTTCATAAACTATAATATATATATATATGTCATTTATCCTCAAATTCCGCATCAGAATTCAATGGCTCTTTTGTTGAAATACAAAGCATCGACGCAAACCAGAGAAGGTGTTTTGCAACAAACTGCAGCACCGCAACACAAGTTGAATGGTACAAAGCATCTGAAAAAGTATCAACCAAAACTACAAGAAGAGTTTATCAATCGTTACAAACCGGATCAGCAACATTGAATCTTCAAAATGCAAACATTGCAGATGAAGGGTATTATAGTTGTCGTTTTAAAATTGGTCAAACCGACAAAAGTACAACTGAATCATATGAAGGTAAATATAAATAATGATCTCGGCTTAATTTTGTAATCTTTGCCTGCTAATTTTTATTTTTTTTTCAATCAGTGGCTGGAAATCCCACACTTCATCAAATATCAAATAACGTCTGCAACGCTAGCTTGATCATCACATGGCAACCAAATAAAAATGCAGTTGGATTCCCGCACAAGTGAGTTTATATTGATGAATATTCAAGTGTCAGTTACAAGATTTTGTTCATGTCGCACTCTTTGCTCTGAACGAGGCTCTAGCCAGGTCATCCAAATCTAAATCAGTGGTCATTGGGTACTCCCGGAGTATATATGTGAACCAAGATGGCGGACACCGGAACGTAGTACGAGTATGTTTACCGAGTTAGCAGTAGGTCATAATTTCAGGTACAAATACTACAGAAGTCACATGGCTAGTCCCCGAACTCGTAATAGAACTAAAATAAGGAAAATTAGAATACAATTGTGGCCTAACCCTGACTTGGTACACATTCCACGTTCCAGTGTCCGTCATCTTGGTTCACATATTTCGGGAGTACCGGTCATTGAATAGCAATGTTGTAGTACCATTTTTGCCATTAGGCTACATACACTGCGACAACAATTTCAAAAAAAGGACAACGTAGTCTTCAGGGCGAATATTTAAGGATTGATATTGTGAAACCGTTTCTGTTATGATATTATTGTAAACTCACTTCTGTATTACAGAATAGAAGTGAGTCCGACCTCGAGGGAATCAACAAGATGGGTGGATTCACCAACATCTGAGAAACAGTCAACCACAATAACCAGTTTGTCGCCTACCACGACCTATCAAATTAAAGTAAGCAATATTGGTGTGATATACCGTGTATTCGTGTAATTATCATTCTCAGTGGTGAGGTAGTCAAGATACAACGAGTCATTTATTGTGTTCTAATTCTTGCAGAAGATCTCTCCTTTCAGCATCATTTAAAGCTACCCGAGTATTCTGTCCCACGTATACGTTGCGTTATTAAAATGTCTATATAAATTACTTTTGTCAGATAACTGCGTGTGTAACAAAAGATATCTGCCCAACCAAATATTCTGCCACCCAAAGCGCAACAACAGGGGGAACAACTTTATTTGCAGAATCGTTATCTTTTATACAGTACAAGGTTACGCAAACTTGTGTCATCTCTTGGACACTATCTAACAAGACGGAGACTGTTGATTCATATACCGTGGTTAGTCAATATTTGCATTGTTGATACAGAGGGCATACTAGGCCGTGACGTTTGACTGAATATACAACCATTCCGTCACTTAAGATAGTAGATCCATCCAACACTGTCTACTGATATTAATGGCAGATTGCATTTTATAATATTCTGTATTCGATTCATATTTAACTCAGCTCAAAGATTTGGTTCTTTGTGTTACTTCAACATCTTATATATCATCAATTTTTAAGCGGATTTTTAGTCAAAATTTAGCAATCGATAAAACAACACGATTAATTCCGATGGAAATGTTTTTCTGATGATTTATAGGAACTGAATCTAACTTCAACTCCGGTTTCGTCACGAGATGCAAACCCGAAGACGTGCATGAAACCCATAGACGTGACGTCAACGTCCGGGTATTCATTTCAACCAGAACCAAATCGTAACTATTCGGCATCTCTGAAAATATTTAATTGTGTTTTGCTTGTCAAAGGTTCTTGTGTAGGAATTCTAAAAGGTATAAATTGAATTTGAATATTATAATTCTAAATATTTACATTTACTCCACTCAATTAGAAGTAATCATTGGGAATTCAGTCAAGCATAAGTAATTCATGATAGTGACTCCTAACTTTAGCAGACACCACTTGACGTGAGACTTTAAGCTGTTCATTTCTTCGAAAAAATGAGAAAATTTGGAAAACCTTCATTGAAATATATATATAGTGTTTACGTTTAGGAATCTATTCTTTCGACCTAGAATTAGGTATAATATCATTAAACATTCATTTTTGAAATGGTGATTTTGTCATTTTAATAAACGTTGAGTTGTACTTGTTGCTAGCTAAAAAATTTCAATAATATTCAGGAAATCTGTAATATTTAGGTTTTTGTTGAAATAATATAATTTTTTAGAAAAAAAATCGTTCGAGTTCAGCATCGTCAGTTTCGTGATTGGTTTTCTCATTCCTCTGATTTTTCTGGTAGTCTCCGCCTTTATCATTTACAAGCTGATGAAGGAGATAAAGACGTTGAAAAATATTGGAAAAGCAAAAGAATACAACTGTGAAACTATACAAGGAAAAGGTAGTAAAAAATATTGCAGATGCAGAAAATGTCCGTTCTATGAATAAAATTATATTCTTGATTAACCAACTGTAAATTAGTACATGTCACATTCACCAGCTTTTTTCGTGATAAAAGCAAAAATATTTTATATGAAGATAAGCAAACTTGAAAGAGCCTTAGAATAGAAAGTAAACGCCCTCCGGAAGTCATATCAATCTCGGATTATTAAAAATTTGAAAGTGATTGGATCAGTACTTTCTGTATCGTTAAAGGTTAAGTTTTGAAATTTGCTTTTAAGTGATATAAAAAAGTCGGAAAACATTCAAAAAAGAAAGTCACTGTGCGCCTCCGCTTCACATAAATTTTTTTTTTTGTCAACGCCAATATTTTAAATTAAACCGTTATTTATTTTTCAATTACTTACTACCTTTAACGACCTAGCTTCTCAACCCTCATATTCGAACGTGCTAGAAGACTCTGCCATATACGAACAAGCTCTCCCAACGACAACTACTCAAACTCAAGTGGAATCAGCTTACGAAACTTACAACGCCTAATGAACTGCAGCTATGGAGTATCTACTCGCATATCACAAAATGGATGAAAACATGTTGAATTTTATAAAACACCCTGTAAACTCGTAACATACAATGTCTTAGCAGTTGCAGCAGTCTTAGAGTAGTCTATCAAGTTGGTGTCCATCGACATTTCCATGTTGCAGTCGGACCAAACAATTACCCATCTCTATCCACTTACTCACTCAGAATAGAATGATTTCTTTATGCTATGTCGTAAACATGCATTGTCAAACATTCTCATAACGTACCTATTCACCTCTGTTAAGACTGCTTTTATACTGCAATAATAAAATTCAAAAAGCATCAGTTAAAAGTTTAATAATTTTTTGTTGATCCCTGATCTTCCACCCAGTGTCCAATGGTGAGGAAAACTCTTCAAACGTTAACTACAAAATAGACTATGAGTAGAATCAGCGATTCGTTTTTTCCTGGTGGCGATGTGCCTACTTGATTTCACAAATCGGTACTAGCTGACATTGGATAGGCCCAAACCACTAGGTTGTGTAAGTGAGCATTTAACGAGGCCCTGTTGCGTTACTCTGGTTTTCTCGTTTACTGCACTTTTAATTGATCTTTTTGTTTCGTCTTTAATTTTTATTTTTGAATTTAAGAGTGTTGTGGGCTCTATGTGAGCAACTCTTACCTCAAACCTCTTGTTATTATGTTTGACGTAAAACCATTTTTGTTTCCAAATTGTACAAATCCATAACAAATGCTCTAATTTACGTCAAATTAACCCTTTATTTCCTAAACTTGGTCCTACATACGCTACAAAAACATTTATTATGTATTACGTTCATGAATATAACGCTTGTTAATTTAGGAAACATTTTCAATAAAAATATTGTGATAACGACGGAATTTCTTATTGATATGGTTGTTGTCAATCTTTGGATTGCATGAGACTATTTGTTCAACAAAGACTTTTTCCCGAGTGTTCAATGTACTTTTTGCTAGGAGCGCCATATGACTCTGATATTTAGAAAACGATCCTATGCCTGCTCCTACAGGTGGTGGGTCCCTCATTTTATGTTTTCCCATTTATACGGTGTGTGTAAAGGTCGTTGACAGAGCGAGTTATCATTGCGTAGGACAGCGGTTCTCAAACTTTTTGTTCGTGCGGCGCCAAGTTATCAGGGTAAAAACTCACGGTGCACTCACACGAAAAAAATTGTACTTTTAAAAAACTTACTTTTAAATGAAACTCAATTTTGTGATCGTTAACGTGTAATTTATGTCTTTTGAAGTTTGTAAACATGTAGGAGAGGGAAAAAGATCAACTCTTTTTCCTCATCACTGCCTGATTTTTTGTAATGCTAATTAGAATAATTTTTCGATTTCACATGGCAACAATTGAAAATTGGATACTTTTAAAAAATAGCGATTTTGGGAATCTCCAACAAAGCTTTTCATCGTCCGGAAATCATCCTGCGGTACACTGATTTTATATTTTATTCGCTTTCATTTTTCAACTCTTATTTTGACAATACTCGGAAAATATAAGTACCGGTATATATATATATATAAGTATAAAAGTGTCGACTGGTATTTCTGTTTACGAATCATCATCAGAATGAATTTGTCGCTGTTTATATGTGTACAGTATTCGGACACCAAGTTGCAGTTTTAAATGTTATCAAGATCGACTCTTGGAATTTCGTTTTTTTTGCGAGAAATATGTAACAATAAATTATCATTGTGTGGCAGAGTAGGACAAACACAATTTATATATTTTTAATTTGTTGTTTCAACGCCTTCACTCTTAACAAGGCACTGGTATGAGACCTTAAAATCGTCTTCGCCAAAAGAGAAAACATTTCCTTCAGACCACCTACAAAACATAATTTTGAATTACTAGGATAGGATTTACATATTTATCCCGGGGGAGAGGAAAGCCGATACAACGGCTTATCCATATGGCGAACCACGGCCTCACGTCCGGTTACCATTCCAATTCGGGTATGGGATTAGTTTTTACTGTATTGTTTGTTTTCGGAAGCATGGACTTGGTGGTGGAGGAAGCCGTAACCGACCAGCGGTTACGTGAACCACCCAACGACGGCGAGGAGTCCAGCAATCCTCTCGCACATAACCATCCCTTCATGGAATTCGAACCTGCGAACCCACGCAGAGTAATTAGAGGTGCGGTGGCGAGCGTATTCCTAACGCTTAGCCCGTTGAGCCACACCGCCGCGCCTAATAAGAGAAATATCGGAAAGACCACTTTAATTAAGCTTATCTCAATTAATGAATATGTTCCATTTGTTGTATATAGTGACGTCAGACATTGCAATTTCAGCCGCAATAAATCGAATACAAATAAAGAATAAAATTCAGTCATGGAGGCTGGAAATAGCCTCATCAAGTTGAGCCGTTACATAGACTATATACCGGAAAAACAAAATGTCGTACCGCATGCTTTACCACGTTCTACATGTACATCAAATTTTCTACTTAATTTAAGAAAATACACGAAGGTTTATTTCACTCAGGCGTCACGAGACTTCAACATTTTGTCAAATCGAAAAATTTGCTTTTTTCGACTGATAACGCGAAAAGAACATGAAAATTATTCCGCGTATGTGCAGAGCTTACATCGATTTTATTCACAACCGTAAGAAACATCTATCAAGGCCACACGACTATTTGAAAGAGTATGGACCTCAAGGGGGCCTTTGCCATTGCGGACAACGAATGTATACATGCCAACCACAGACGATGGATATTCTAAATTTCCATTTGATTTTTCATGCATCAATATTTTTCTGGCTTCAGTAACAGGCTGCCTTGAAAAGGTATTTGCTCTATGCAACTATCAAGTTTTATTCACTCCGATAGAGGAAAATCTTTTGCGTCTGGTGAATTCAAATATATCAATTGCTGAAACGTGGCCACAAGTCAATCGTCGTGTTACCATCCAATCGGTACGTACAGAGCTGAACGCTTTAATGGGATCCTATGGAAAGTCGCGTGTTCATGCTTACGTATATTGAGAGTCTGTGATACATACCAAAATCCCTTCAACCACCCCGATCTCTGCTTTGCACAGCCTTCGATGCAATTCCGCTTGAACTATTTCGACACCCCTCTCCCAACGGTCACTCGCTGCCTACTTGGTTGTGGAAAAATCAAATATGTTCGCTCAAACAGTATTGACATTTTAGCTGAAGAAGTTGAAGCGAAGAATGTGAATCCTGCATATGCTCGAGTTCGTTTTTCTGTTGGACGAGAAAGAGCAGCATAGGTGAAAGATTTGTCGCCTTGTCGAAACTCTGGAAGACCTTCAGGTCTCGATGAAGTGCGTCTTGAATTTAATATATATGGAAATATCGAAACATGCACCAAGCGTCGCCATCAAATGTGGATGCTACGTTGATCCAAATAGGGAGTTAAAAACGAAATTACATGTAGTCCACGTCGTTCAACTCGAGCTAATTGGTGTTCACCAAATCGCTATGTTTTTTAAATATAGACGAGGAGAATGATATGAAAATTAAGTTTAGTCAGCAACGAACGCGGAACCGCCACAGTGTGCCGATTTTATATTTTAAATAACGCCACCGCACACAAGAAACTACTGCCTACACGAATTTTTGGCCTTCTAAGAGACAATCTTTTGCCACTGAAAATTTCGAAGCAATTGCTCCAACGATTAAAATTTTCATGACGAGAAGAAGAAAATACCAAGAAATATATACCATGACCTTTGTAGTTGTGTAACGTTGTGTATGCCTACTAATCAAAGGAACAAATAGACGTTAGTCTGAAGTTTCAAGAGTTTACTACAAAATAAATGAAAAGGTTGTAAAAAAGTAGTTTGACCAGGTATCATCTGGTAAACAAATGCACAAATCCAAAAAATATGTTAGCAGCTAACAATGATGTTCCCGCCAGAAGTACCAATTGACATATCATCTCTTTTTTAACTTGTGATAATTTCTCATCAGATGCAAAGTAGTTCAGAAAAGCCTAAAATTATAAATTTACCTACTACATTATAAGAAATCTTATTAAACCAGCTAAAATGGTTTCTTATAACATTGTACGAATGCTTATAATGACTTTATCTAAGAAAACAGTGACAACACAGCAGCACCCGACTTACTAATCCTAAATCTTTTAACAGCCCTACGAAGCACGTCACTGTAACATATTTCATAGATTGAAGAGAAATAATTCTCATATCTATCATTAATATACACCCAGAAAATAATCTGATATGGAAAATGAAGGAAATCGGTTAATATTATGAATGCATTAACACTCACCCTGAATGCCCATTGGCCATCAAGTGCATAGCATGGAACTATATTTAGCAACGCAAGTGCACCAGACATGGAGAACATATATCTAAAAATGAAATAGATTACAAATATGATATATATTGGGAAAATTGCATCAATATCAATTAGGAAAAGTAACATAGCATAAAAATGCAACTCACTGCAAAAACCTCAGTATGATTGAAGGAAGCTTTGGAGGAATTACCGTGTATCTTGGAAACAGGTCTGATACAGTAACTGAACGTACAATATCAACAGGATCTCCAATATAAAGCACATTATGCTTGTCCAAACCTTGACGCAAAGTGGTTATACGAATGAACTTCACACCTGGTTCTGCACAAAAAAAAAAATTTGTTTCTGACAAACACAAACTTTTATCTGTACCCAACCATGTAATACACATCAGATTTGGTTCAGCAGAACACATCCACCCAGAAAAAAAGCTGAATCTGACCAAACACTCCAGAGAACCTCACTTAATATAGCAGAATCTATTTAATAAATGTGATCATATAGGCTCAGCAGTGTGGCGCATCATGCCAAGCATTAGGAGTATGCTCGTCAACGCACATCTGTTTACCCCTGGGTTTGCAGGTTTGAATCTCCTTGTCTTAATTATGTGCGGAGGATTGCTGCACACCTCGCTGCCCAGGGGCTTCACGTAACCAGCCGCTGGCCAGTTATGGCATCATCCACTATTAAGTCCATGTATCTGAAACAAATAACGTACTACGAGGACCATGGTTTTCCATATAATTGAGCCGTCCTATCACCCTTTCTCTCTCTGGATAAATATTCAAATCATATCCTGTTGGGCACTCACATAAATATATGGTTGCCCCATCCCAACATCTTATAGTCAGACTTTTAAAATAAACGAGGCAATTTCTGTGAACAGTAACTTCTGATGCAACACAAACTTGAAAAAACAGTTTGTTTCACCTGTATGAGCCTTTGCACAAACAATATCATCTTGATCTTCATCTTTGTTGATGTGGCAATCTTTTGTTGAAACGCAATCTTCCAGAGTAGATATCATAACACGCCCAGGCAAACAAGCATACATCTGAATGAAAGTGAAAAATAATAGAAAGAGGATTTGAAAAAGTTCCAACTTGAAAAAGGTCAAAGGTTAACTAAATGCAGAGTCAAATATTTTTTTACTCAATAGGATATTGTGCATATTGTGCCCATTGCCTTACATTTATTCTCGTACTACAGTTGACCAAGTTGAAATGTATGTTGATTAGCATTGGTAGAATGTGATCAAAAACTCAAGGAAATAGAAGAGTAAGGCTATTTATCAGAAAACTTTTGGAATCTAACTTATAAACAAAGGTACAAGTAATACAAATTATCTGGTGATATTCCGGATTTATTGATAATAATTCAGGTAAGAACTCAACACAAAACAATCTCTTCTGGCCATCAACTATCTTGTATTATACATCAGATATTTGAATATGCTTACCGTATTATTGCTTTGAATAGTTGTGTATTTATAACACAGATGTGTCTGCGGAGCATGTATATCACAGCAATCCATCCAATAATGACGATGAGAGGTAGAACTTTGAATATTTGGATTATTCACAGTGAAAACTGTGTGTGATGAGACACTATCTATCTTTTTCTTTGAAACACAAGAACCTGAAAGTAGGACATGACTTTTACACAGTTATAGATTATAATGTTGGAAAAGTATCCCAATAAAAATGCACAGAATAAAAATACCAAATACTTGAATGCAATGCTAATTTCTTCAAAGGTGACCAAATTGAAAAGCATTAAATAATTATTCTCTTATTTGATAAAACAATGACGGATTATATACTAAATTAAGAATTTTGAATGAGTTTCTTTAGTAGATGTGCTCATTTACCGGTAATGGTTTTACAAATAGACTAACACCAATTTACAGAAATGATACATAATAAAAATAAACTCAAAGTAGAATTACGCAACAACTTGTTCGTTGATATGTAAATTCCAAATACCGATATACATCAACACAAATACACGAAATTATTTTCTTACCCCATTGTGCAGACTTCTTGGTTTTGTTAATGCATTTAAACCAATCAGTTTTGTTTGATATTTTACAGGAATCAATCATCAAAACATGATCTCCTGCTCTTAATCCCATGCTACCTTGCAATGGTGATTCCTACAAAAAGTTTTATGTTGAACCAAATAATTTTAAATCGTTATTTAAAAAAGCATTGAAAAGTGAGAGGCATACCTACTGGCATTTGGTGGGTGACGAGAACTCCATCAGGTTTAGACGTATAAAATGGGAATAGCAGTCCAGGTAAAACCACTATTAGTCCACATGCTGCCACACAAATCACAAAATTATGCCATACTCCTATAATACATAAAAAAAATTGCATTAGCAAAAATAGGCAATCTAATATATCAGCAAATTCTTCGAATATACTTTATAATACCTGCGCAATATACACGCAGTTGACAAAGTGGACTCTTCCTGCTCATATCATCTGAATTTAGATCAACAAATGCACCAGGATAGATCAAGAAAGCAAATATACCAAAGCCATTGATTTGAATACCTTCACTGCATAAAAAAAACAATAAAGGAGAAGTTGATTTTCATTGTAACATGCAGAACATAAAAAAATGCTTACGATGTCCAATAACTTACCGAGCGGCAGCAATGGCATGTCCAAATTCATGCAATATTCCGCTCAAAAAAATAGAAGACAACAAATACCATATATCATGTATTGGCATGTTTATGCCAGGAACAATAACCGAGAGAACCTTAAATGAAAAAAAATAAATTTCATTACAAACTTCATTAATAACCATGGCTAGTTAAGCAGCTAATGGTTGCATATACAGCTGAAACAATGCAACTTTTTTATCTCCTCAAACTGCAACATGTTGCTACAGGTAATACGACTTGCATCTGAGTGGGTTATATACAATACAATTAATATTAGAAAAGATAAGACATCAGAGCACAGAAAACAGTTTTAGCAGACATAATAGTAAATAATCATAAAAATAATAATCATGAATACCTGTTGATCTGGAACAGGTTTTTCTGGCTTAAAAAAAATCTGCAAAATTGTCACATAAAGAGTATGGCATAGCAAAATTGTGCCAACGAACATTGTCAATACAGCAAGAAAAACACCTGAAAAATATATTCATAAAAACTTTCTTCTTATATCGCACTTTCTTTGAATAAAGAATTTTGATCGAAATAAACAGTTTTGGTTGAATCAAAATCAAAATAGATTAAACATAAAAAGATTTATTTACCTGCATCAAACCACAGTTTGAGTTTAGAGGTACACATTCTGCCAATTTTTATAAAAAAGCGATTCCACCCAGCAGTGAACCAGCGAATGTGAAATAATGATATTGAGACATTATAGTTGATTAAAAAAGAAGACACATGATGACCAAACGATGAACTATTCTGCATTAAATTGAAGAAAAAGGTTTTACATATTGATATAACAATGGGAAGTCTTTTGAATTTGATTAGTTGTCTATCATATATTTAATGAACTTGCTACTGTTCCATTTCATACCAATTACTTACTTCAAGCAGCTTCTGAACCTCATATTTCAACAATTATATCAATATGCTTAAAATAAAATGATAACTTACCAATAGAAAGTTGTGAGCAAGATGAAATGTGGACCATACTCCTAGAAGAATTGCAACAAACGTTGATGGAGACATGATTTTAATGTGCAATTTTGCCACATTCAGACATAACAATGAGCCATCTACAGTTCTAAGTCTAACTGTATATTTTGCCTATCAAAGTATTTAAACTTTTTGCTACTCTTGACCTGCAGACCTAAATAAGTCATAAGATAACTTTTTATTCAATGACATCCAACATTTCTAGATTTAGCAGTGGGTGAGGGTTTGGTATAGTTAGGCACCACAAGTACTTCTAGTGGGTAGGGTGTAGTATAACCATATTTGCATATGCGCAAACGAAATGTTCAAGAACGTACGATCCTCACAATCATTATGTACCACGGTCTGCGTACATATCCTAATACATGTGACTTGAGCTGCACGATTTTGCAGGTTGGTGATTTTGCGAGAAAACATTATGCGCGATTTTTTCCCCCAAAATCCCACTTTCTACGTACTGCACGCATCCATCCAAAGTGTGATATAGTTTACTGAATAAGTCAACTATGGTGTGATCACGTGTAGTGTCCCAAAATGTTTATCCAAGAAACAGCTTTTGCCAAGTGTTCTAATCACTCACATTTCTATTGCTTATCTGCGAAACGTATATTTTCCCCAGTTTTTCTAGAGTTTGACTTATAAAGCTCACACATATTATAATATGGCTACTATGTGAATGAATGCTGAAAAATACATGGAATGCCAACTAAAACTACGTCATGAGTAGTATGATATTTGTATTTTATTTTCTATGCGATGGTGTTTTGAATTCCGGCATATTGCTTAATATTGATGAATAGAATATATCCATCTTACACCCATGTACCAGCATATCAATGGTGATACGAGAAAACTTTGATGACAAGAGATTTACCCGAGTTCGTAATCTTATTCATCTACCCGCCAGCAGATGTGTTGTGTTAGCGAAGCGCTCGCTGGCTACCGCTGTGTACATGTGTTGTGTGGGTGACAAGGTGCGATGTGGATGATGATGCAAGAATTGCAAGTAATCCGCTAAAATTGTTTTCAAGCTTTCCTTATTTCTGTGTCATTTATGAATGGGATTTTGCTACGCGGCATAAGGTGTGAAACAAGGATAAACAAAGTTTAAAAAGCTGAAATTACGCTAAGAAGACAATCGGACAATATGAACCAAGACGCCAGTACGGGTAATCTGTCGACTATAACTCCACGTTCCCGGCATGTGAGGGATTTCATTGTTGATTTCCTGGCTGGATCCGCAGGGGGTACTGCTTGTGTATACTGCGGCCAGCCGCTAGACACTATAAAAGTAAAAATGCAAGCGTTTCCAGGCTTCTATAGAGGAGGATTGGACTGCTTCAAACAAATTCTAAAATCGGAAGGGCTCAACGGTTTATACAAAGGATCTGTGCCAGCTCTTGTTTGTAATGTTGCTGAAAATTCTGTTTTGTTTGTGGCTTTGGGGTTTTCTAAAAAGTTTGTAGCTTCTGTTTCTAATACTGATTATAAAAAATTAAGCACGCTGCAAATGGCCTCTGCTGGTAGTATCGCTTCAATTTTTTCTGCTATGGTGGTTTGTCCCAATGAGCTAATAAAATGTAGAATGCAAGCACTGACAGAAATGGCTGCTTCTGGGAAAATTGTGAATAAATCTATGGGCCCATGGGGTATAGTTAGACAAATTATGAGGGAAAGGGGTCCGAGTGGATTTATGACTGGTATTACGAGTACATGGGCTAGGGAGTTACCTGGTTACTTTGCATTTTTTTATGGGTATGAGTTAACAAGAGACCTTTTAACTCCGGCTGGTAAAACAAAAAATGACATTGGACCTTTGGGCTTAATGTTTGCTGGGGGAACAGCTGGTGTGTTTTTGTGGATTCTTGTTTATCCAATTGATGCTGTGAAATCACAAATACAAGTTTTATCACAGACAGGAAAACAGTATGGCTTTCTGAAAACATTTCGTGGTGTTGTGCGAACTAAAGGATTTTTTTCTCTATATTCTGGGTTGTTACCGTGTATCATACGAAGCTATCCAGCAAACGGAGCTTTGTTTCTTGCATATGAAACCACCCAGAAGCTTCTAGAAAACTTCTAGAGAGTAATATTTGAAACCACTATAGAAATCTTGGATTTATAATTATGAATTGAAGATGAAACATCTTAGATGTAGTTTTTTTCATCTATAATTTCTAGCCTCCATCTTCTTATTTCATTTGCCAAAGGCAAAATTTCTTCCTGTTGAAGACAATATTCTGTTTTATCTAATTTGAATTGTATTAATTTGTGTTTTAAATAAACCACTGATTGTTCTTTATGAATCTGGACTGATTCCTGAACTCAAAAGCATTGCCTGATTCTGAATCGTGTTTTTTGTATGCTTGTATTATTATTATTTTTTTTGGTGGGCGGGCGCGTACTTTTACGTTTTTTAACTTTATTTAAAGTTATGCTCGCCTTCCAGGTATCTCTGCATGTTGTTTGTTCGTCTACTTTTTGTGCTGTTTTGTTTTTATGTCAGAGTACCGAAATAAATGATTGATTGATTGATACATTTAGAGTATCAATATTCAGGTGTATTCTTGTGATGCGAAAAGTTGATTAGAAACCTTCATATAGTTGTATTACTATTACTCCACCTATATTTATTCCAAGAAATGTTACTAAAATTTTTACCTGTTATAGGTCACCCTCTCACTTTTTAATTTCTAGTCAATCATGACTTTAAAATGAATTCTAATATTGTAAGTTTCTTATGAACATTGTAAAGTTTTAACTGGGGAGGTCTCTAAAAACACTGTTTGCATATATGCCTCAGCTGAAATTTCTTTGCTTCATAATTCCTTTATTTTGTGATATGATACATGCATTCTATTACAGAATAGTTATTTTGCATGGCTAATGCTGGCTGAGACCCAACTCTGTAAATATATTTCCCAATAATCAAGTGCAAACCATATTTAAATTTGAATTCTAAAACTTTAGCTGAATTGCGAATAATTTTTGATCAGTGAAGCTGTGTGTTGTTTTTCCTAATTATCATTTTAATGTGATATGAATTATTGTTTTATTAGATTACTTTCTTCTAATATAATTTTTTGGATATATTTTGTTGAAAAATGTCAGAAGGAACTGCTGTGCAGGTATGCTTTCTCATTTTTGTAATATATGGTACTACATAATATTGGGACTTTGAATAATTATATATCGTATATTGATATTCATTAGTGTAGGATTTCCAAATAATCACAACAATTGCCATTTTTATTGACTTTAACGGTCGGTAGTGTTTAAATATTTATCAAAGTGGAAATGGCTCGGGAGAATTAGTTTTTCTCTTTTGATACCTCCTAGTAAGTTTACCGACAACAGTAAAAAAATAAGTGAAAAGATTTAATTATATAAACAACTTAATTATTTTTTTTTTCAAATTTTATTGATGCGATATCCGCTTTAGTAAAAATTTAAATTTAAATGAATATTGATTGAAAATGATATCCAACAGCAGACAACTTAGAAATATCTACATTATTTGCATGTTTTGTTTTCAATTTTAGACTACTGAGCCAGCGGCTGATGGAGCAGCTCAAGGTGAAGAACAAAGGCCTCAATCTACGTTTCAAACTGTGTCTGGGATAATATTTCGTGTCGTGTTTATGTGGATGGTCATGTCATGGTTGAGAGGTGGAAATAAAACAAATACAGGAGATAATAAAACAGTTGCAACATTTGCTTCTCAGAACTTATTTAAGACTGGGGATGTATTGGTGAGATTCTTTTTATTGCTCATAAATAATAATTTCATGGTAGTAGTGCTTGTTCAATACAAAGTAGAGAAAGTCTACGGCGTTGACATCATATTTCATTCTGGTATGGGCTGAATGCTGATTGCCACAATATATTTCCAAGTAGTTGAGGTTGCGCTAACTCCCAATCCTTCCTCAATGCCTTTGCGCTAATGGATCCGTATGCGTATAATGCGAGGATGCTACAGCAGGAATGAAAATACCATATTATGCAATTCAAGAGTCCTGCCGCACACTGACACAAATGTATTTCTGTAACGTTTCGGTTTCGTCGAAAAACCGCATGATTGTTCTTTTCTTGTCATTATTATAAACTGCTTGTCTGAGGAATTCTGATGGTCAGACGAAACGTTACAGAAATACATTTGTGTTAGTGTGCAGCAGGACTCTTGAATTGCATCATATATTTTCAAGTTTGATAATTTAATTTGTGATATTCGTTAACATGCTGTTTGCCCTTTTGTATTATAGCAGAAGTTCGCTTTATCTTTGGATATTAAGTTTTCATTTGAATGACCATGATTCATTTGTGTAATTAGTCCGGTATCGGCCAAGCCAATATTCCTACAGATTTGAATATCATGGTGATGGTGATGGACAATGTCCTATTTGGCATGACCAATACCAAATTATATTTTGCTTCTTATAAGTTTTATAAATCTTTATTTGAAATAGACGATTGTCCTCCAACATTGGAACAACCATACTTTTTATAAATCTTATGTGTAAATTTCTCTGCATTTAAGGACATGTGGGTGTTTGTTAATGAAGAGGAAAATTTCACAGACTTCACTAATATGAATACACTATATTGGCACAAAACAGATTTAACATATGGTGCATGGTACGATGGACCGAACCAAGATGGCACTTTCACGTCTAATACAACCATTGTGTTGTCCGAGGTAAAATTGATTATATTGTCATCCGATATGCAGGAAGCTGATAATGCATGAAGAAAATTTCTGTTTGTTGTACTAGTATGAACTTATGGAAAAATATTAAATTACCTAATACGTTAAATTAACAGTTAATTGAAATTTTGAGGCTTTTTATGCAGTCCGATTGGAATAGTACAATACAGTACATAAAAGTGCATCAGACAATATAATGTCAAAGAAGATATCCCCTCTATTGTTCCTTCCATAATAAAAGCCATCCGCAAAATACTGAAACGTGTGTGTTCTGTTCGTTTAATCTCTTTTCAATTCAAAAATATGTATTACGAAGTTAAATAATACATTTTTGGACACTATGTATATAATGCTTAAAATCATCTGCATATTATTACTAATAATTTATATTCTAGAAAGTTTCAGAAGAATGGATCACTATTTATGCATGTTTACTTCACTCAGGAAAGCTTCGTACCGAATAAAAAATTGGAGGGGTCTTATTCTGAACCAATACACTTTCGAAGCACACAAACGTAAGTTTTAATAAAAATATGTCATAAGTATATATGGGTCAGTAACATTTGCCATAAAACACCTGTATGCGCATTGCGCCAACCAGCCAACCACTTACAGTCAATTTTGCATATATTCCTATTTACATTGATTCCTATTCAGTGCTTTAAATGTGCCAGACGCACGAAATTTATGACTCGCAGTCACGATATCAATGCATTTGAGGTATTATGAGAGAGTAAATATTTACTCAGTTCAGCCAATTTCTTGGGGAAAGTCTTTTTGTTACCTTACTTTGCTATGCTTTGTGACCTGGCTGCACTGTGCACTGCACTGTGACTACCCTTTCCTCTGTATATGCAAAAAAGTGGATTGTAGGCAATTTCAAAAAATTATTTTTAGAATTGAATAAATATAAAAAAGAACAATAAAAAAGACACAGAATTTACTCACTGGGAAGACAGAGACAGATCCCACACTGTTAAAAGAGCAGAAAACACATGGAAATACTGAAATAATTTCTCATTGGCATCCAAATATCACAATCAATTTGGTTGCTGATCAAACAAATTGGGCTAAAGGAAGTGTACCTCACCACTAGACAAACGTGAGCATTGGTTTTTACAAGTGTCTGGTAAAGTAATCAGACTCAAAACATTCACATATTTAATTGTATATGGATAATAAGAAATAGGATTATAAAAAATATAACTCTGCATTTTTTATTTAACAAGCATTCTTCCGAGGTAAAAGAGTTGAAATAATTTCTGATTCTGTTGAGTTAGAAGTCTTTGTTGATAAAATTAACAAATACCATATGAGAAACATTTTTAGAGCCTCTTTGTTAAGCTTTGCGAAAAGTGTTGTTTCCTATATGTCTATAGCTACCCCAATTTGAAGGCAATGCTAACTGTAGTTAGATTTGGTTTCTGTATGGTTTTGAAAATATTTTCTCACAATTATTATTAGACTTAAACAAGTTAAAACTTAAAAAATGAAGGAATTTTTAGTATTTTTGTATATTGACTTATTGCAAAATCGTCATTCTTTTTCATGTTATGGCTCCTTTCTTTACTTTTGATGTCTTCGTTTTAGTGGTCAAGTTTGATGATGAACACAAGACCTATGAGCCAATCATACATCTGAATGATTATTGGAATCTTATAAGAGATTTCCAACCTATAAATGAAACTGTAAAAGAAGTCAATTTTCATATTACATATCAGGTATGTTTTTCTCTTTTTTCAGTAACGGTGAAATTCAGGTTATTACACATATATTTTTTTTTAGCCAATTTCTCTTTTCAAACTTCAAATGTATGCTTCTCAATCAATGCAAAATCAATGGTTCAATGTACTTGGTGAAGATTATAATGAAGAATCAGAACAGGATAAAGATTCTTTGAAGGTCTGTTTCATAAGATTGTCTTTAGGCATATTCAACCACTTTATTAGTCAAGATCTGTAAATCACACAGTTTGCATTTGTATTACAGAATTAACTCTAGTTTGGTATTGACCTTATATGTGTTTACTATAATATATAGAATGTTGGTTCCGGATTGGCATATACAATTATTTTAATACGGCGCAGTAGCCTAGCAGTTAATGCATCAAGACCCAAATGAGTTGGCATCCCAATTTAGCATCTCTGGCTTAAACCCCATGCCTTTACCCCACTCTGGGTATAATAAATTGGTAGGCAATGCTGAACTGGGGCAAGATTCTGTCCTTCCAAATAAAAGTAACACCTTCTATTAGGCATATATTGTGAGGTATCTGTGGCTGCGTGTTTAGGACCTTGTTCAAAGCAAAAGGCTTAGCGGCTTATGAAAAAAATGTGCTGTGTATCTAAGTAGGGTCTTCAAACTATTATACACTTCAACTCATTCTTAGTACAATTTGGTTTCATTGGATGCAATGACATTTATTCTTTTAATACTTTAGGTTTCCAGTTGTCTTTTTCACAATTTGATTCACCAGGCAGGAGTTTTTGAGTCAGGTTTACATCATCCCATTAGTACTTAAACAGTTGGAAGAAGAAATTTGATTGATTGATTTTGCTATTTGGTGTCAGTTTCCTATAATATTGTTATTTTTACAGAAGCTATGGTGGAAACAAATCCTTATCTACTTGGTCTTACTGTAATTGTATCAATTGTACACAGCATATTTGAATTTTTAGCTTTCAAAATGGTAAGTGTTTTGTAATGTTAAGTTCTATTGACTGTAAGCTGACAAAAATAACAGCACACATTGCGCTCACAAGAGTCACAAATGTAGATGCAGAAAATAAGAAAATTCAAGTAATTTTTAACTCAGCCATTGATGTCATAGTTTGTAATGTTGTTACTTCTTTTCCATTTTGCTCCAAGCTCGGTTTTGCTTTAATTTGGAACTGTTATAGGTTTTATTATGTTAATAACAAACTATAACCTCTGCGTCTCAGTTTATGTACTTTTAGTTTGTTTGAGACATTGAGTCTTCCCAGTATTTGTAGCGAAACAATATATTTATTGTTTACCACCACATGCCAATTTCAGATATTCAGTTCTGGAAGAGTCGAAAAACACTCGAAGGTCTCTCTGTTCGTTCTGTTGTTTTCGGTGTTTTTCCAGTCTGTCATTGTTCTTTTATACATTCTCGATAATGACACAAATTTTGTTATTCGAGTCAGCGTTTTTATTGGTTGTCTTATCGATGCCTGGAAGATTACTAAAGTCATGTCTGTGAAGGTAGGTATTCTATAATTCTTAGATGATTCCTGTATATTATAAATAAAGCAAAATGTTAAAATTCATTTTTGACAAGCACTGCAATCAGATTAATAAGGCCATTGCTAACTGTATAAATGCCCAAAGG